TAATTTTTTGTGTACGTGTTCATGACATTCAATCCTTTGATTTTCCACTTCTGTAACTTTTCTGGTGGAAAAATTAATCTAGTTGATGCATTTGAGAGGTCAAAATTGAAAATCCCCATTAGTTTTCAAAAGCATAGGTAAAAATAAAAATATTATGGAAAAACTGAAATTTTTAAGTAAATTCAGTTTTTGACCAAATTTATTGCTAAGGATTTATACATTATTTGCATTAAATATTGTAAACAATAAATCTAAAAATTATAAAAACACTGTTTTTTTCTTTTTTGATTTTTAAATGGAGAATAATGATTTTAGTCATTTTTTGTCTAATTTGAAGCTTTTAAAGTAGGTACCGTAAAATGGGTTTATTTGGGAAATTTGGGTAACTTGAATACAAATGATAAGATTTGAGCACTAGAAATGTTTTTATCACTACCGTATTTATTGTCATTTTCACGACGACCGTCTTGCTAACCGGACATGCTCACATTGTAAATACTTATTATTTAAATATAAATACATAAGTAGATTATTGTGTGTTATATAACCATGTTAAAACTTAGTGTACACACAGCTTGCTATTAGTTGAATGTAAATGTGGGTTCCAACATTAGTTGCAGCAACTACTCGTGAATTATATACAATATTTCATTATTATTAATTATATTATGTCATTTTTGATGTTATCATGAAATGCTGGAAAAAAATAGTTTTTATGGTAACTTAATCAGGTACTTTTATGTACTTATAAATCATTTTATACCTTAAAATTAAACTATGGGGTATTATGAAGTAATTTAAACTGACCAAGTTGTTTTATTTTATTTTTAATGTAATTTTAAATGAATAAAGTGACTACTTAATCTTAAAAAAAAAAAATTCATTGTTTAATCTAAAATAGGTTAGTAAATCTTGTTATAAAAATTTAAAATTATAATGTTTTAAAAGCTGTTTTTTTTTAAAAAAACAAAACATCTGTCCCTGGTTAAAATATGTGTAGTTCAGCATGATTTTTTCATATAAAACAATAGTTGTCCCAAGTTTTCAAAAATCGAGGTTAAATTTGGACAAACATATTTTTTTTAAAAAAAATGGGAAGAGCGAATAAAAAAAAAACAATAAATGGGTCGTAGAGTCTAAGCCAATACCAGCATTTTTGGTCCTAACCTTTATTATTATATTTTGAAAATTTATCGATCTGCATTAATCTGAAGTTCAAAAGTGTCCCAAGTAAACCCATTTTACAGTATATCAAATGAAATGTTTTTGGCAAATATTAATTCAACCTACTGTAATAGTAAAATAAATTATTTCAAAAGCAATAATATAATAAAATATCCTTAGTAATATAAACTGACAGAATTATTTATCTCTAACATTGATTTTATATCATTGAATTCAAATTTAACACATCCATTGTAGTAACATACTCAACATCTAATATACAGAAGAGCAGTACCCACTTTTTTTAAAAATTACTTTCATCAACTAACTTATACAATTAAAGTTATTGTTACTCACTAGTTTAATATCTATCTGTGATAAATTCAAAATTGTATTAAGTATATTCTTTTAAATAACGCTATACTTAATGATTAAAAATATAAAAATAAAAATTTTGGTTTTTCTTTAGATTTTTCAATAGTAGGAAATAATAATAATTATTATTATTATAAATAGGTGATTATACCAAACAATATATTATTACTTACATTCATATACCTTTTTAGGAATTGATTATACATTAGCCATTTACTTTAATATATCAATGTTTCTAACCTTGAATAACAAGGAAGTTATCAATACCTACTTTATTCAGGATTAGTGTGAACACAGTGATTTTCTATCATGCATACATACCGAGTTGTTGAACACTGTCAAACCCCCAAAGGGTAGTCTAAACTTTAGGTGCTCTGTCATTTTATATTGTAAATGTTGGCGACCGTCATAAAAAGCTGGCATGTCACAGCGGCCCACACTAACACTTTTGATCGGATCTTTTAAAGGGGTGGGGATAACAAAGGTGTTTGCACAGATACGACCAGTTTTCGTCTGTCAAGCAATTCACTCTGAACCTCAATAGAGTTTAATATCAATGGAATTTATTATTACAAGTTGTTATTTTTGCAAAACTATAAAGTGTTGTCTAAGAATTATTTCATAGATGCAGTCTTCTTTATCCTGCATCTTAAGCAGGTATTCTGGAAATATAATTATTTACAATACAAGTGGAGTACATATCAGTGTGTGGGGGGGGGGCTAATTTTTTTAAATGATTTTAAAATGTATTGATATTATACTGTTAATGTAGAAGCGCACAGTTGCATATCATGGCCAGTTAATTATAATCTCGGTAACAGCCAAATTATAAAATTACATTTCACACTAACAGGTTAATATGAAATATGTATTTAATAACTGTATCTACTAAATGTCAAATGTGTAACGATAATTAATAAATTCTAACAAGGGATCGACTTAGAAATTGTCTAAGATTGACCGCTTGGCCACCCCTAATATATACTGTAGTTGTATCAACAAAAATATGATAAACATTAATTTATAAAATAATATTAATATATTACTACATATATTTAAAAACACAATAAATTTTTAGAATCAATAAATACTAGTAATGGGTTGGGCCCAGTTATAACACCCAGTAAAAAAACTCAAAAAACAAAAAAACAAACTTTAAACTGCATATTGATTTTTATTACTTTTAAGTAACATTAAAAAACAAAAATATGTAAGCAAAAACATTGAATATTATAATTTTACATTTCTTAATTATAATTAATTTTAAACTCATAACAATAAACAATACAAATTAAGTAATAATAATAAAACAACTTATAAGCACTTTTTAATGTTTACTGGTAAATGGTAATAAACAAATTAACTGTATAATATTATATAGGTAGGCATACCAAAACTTTTTATATTTCTTTATAAGTTTCTTAAATATAACAGTTATAACTTATATATAATTTTAAACAAGCAATAGGTGTATGTTTTAAGTTTTAATGTTTAGGGAACTGCCCTAGTAAAAAAGTGTCAGGAATCGGCATGCATTTGAAAATTATTAAAACCCAACTGGGTCAGGATTTTTAAAAAACCCGTGGGTTTTTTGAACCCTTAAACTAATGTAATGCAGATAATATATTATTTTTAATATACCTAAATCATTATCAGTTTTATTATAAGTATAAATTTAAATTAGATTATATATTATACTGTTTATCCTTGATGTCAAGCATAAACAAAAATTGTTAAGACAATGAAGATGCAGACTCATTATTTTAATGTACTCAGATGTTTCTAAACATGAAAATTAAAACAATATAGCAATGAACATGTGTGTCATAGGTACTAATTCAATGTATAAAAACAAAAACAACATAGACCTATACGTCAAGGCAACCCATCCTTTGAATAGTATTCACATTTAAAGTGTAGCATGTGCAACAATTTTTGTCTTTGGTTTACGTTGCACAGGGTAAATCTATATTGAACCCATTTTTACCTAGACTATTTTACCACCATAATTAGTTGAATGGGGGAGGGGTAAACTCATGGCAAACTCGAGGGCCACCCCGAGCACAAAATATTCGGTCGTCTGACGGCAGCGACCGGCTACAGAGTATGCACCCGGGGCACCGGGGGGGGGGAAGGGTAGTAATTGCTGGAGAGTGGTGGTGAGGAGTCGATGCAGAAGAAAAGACAGATGCAGAAGACGCGAGCGGCGAGCAAAAAACATTAAATACGATTGCGAAACAATAAATGCAATATACTCACTATGTCTGAGGACGGCGTAAGGGCTTGGGAGCTCCTGTGGTTCACACAAAACGACAACAACGGCGACGGCGGCTGCGGATTGGATCTGTTCTCAGTTGTGTGTGACGCTTGTGACGCGCAAAAGCGTAATACGGCCGTCGGGGGTCGCTTTGGTCGACGTCTGCTGGTCGAAACGATCTTTTGCGTTGTCCCTCAGTCGATTTCACTTTTACGTTGAATTTTTTTTTTCATCATTTGATAAAAATAGCAGTAAACCTATCCTCGCGAACAGCTGTCGAGCCGACGTCTCTCCGCAGTTCACTGTGGTGTGTACTGTGTAGCAGCCAGTGGGTAGTGCAGACGTAGTGGGTACCTACGTAAAGCGACAGCCGTACACACTACACATAGGTACGTATTATTATAATAATAATAATAATAATAATAATAATAATAACATTGGCAGTAACACAGTATAAGGTATTATCACAGAGTAAATTAAAATATTAAATTTACTCCGTTGTGTTTTTTATCAGCGACAGAAATAAACGGATGATGGCGAAAAAATGGCACCAGACAAAGGAAAGGACCGAGTACCCCGACTCCACATTCAACAGTCACGATGATTACAAAACACTGTCCACACCACACCTATGTACGCCGTCACCTGGGAACCTGCGCTTTTCTGTTCCGGTACCACCAAGGATACCTTATGCTTTCCACCATTTTATTCTTATCTACGCTCGACTTAAAGACAAAAAATAATAATATTATCAAAATTCGTGACGACGACATAGCATAGAATATTCTATGGGCATAGGTAAGTCATAAACATTAAAAAACAATTATCGATAGGTATATGAAATAGGACATGGGTATATGGATACTATACAGTATACTTCTATAGTTCGATCCATTAATTTACAAATTACAATTACGATTGCATAGGTATTAGGTGTACTTCAATTTTCTGTTTTATATATTTTTACAGGTACCTATATATAATATATTTATTTTAAAATTTTATAATATAATGTATGTTAATGTTAACATGAAAGAATTTACATGAAGTAGATATTATATTATTGCAAATGTTTTATTGATTTTAGATAAGACATCAACAAAAATAATATTATTTATATAACATACCTAGGAAGAAGGAGGAATAATATTATTACAAGATTTACAAGCAGAACAATCGATTGTGATTTATTTAACATACAATAATGGCTCATCACTTCAAGGAAGAAGACATTGATGGTAAGACATAAGTTAATTTTAAATACCATTATGGAATGATTACTCGTGGGTATTGTCCTAATATGTGTAGGTACTATGTATTTTATATTCTGATAATTTTTTTTTCAGAATTCAGAGAATGTTTTTATCTATTTGCTAGAGAAGGAGTGATTAATAAACTAGATGAACTCAGTGTAATCATGCGATCTCTAGGAATGAGTCCAACAATAACTGAATTAAAGAAATACTTTTCAGAAAACAGTAAGTGCAAATAGGTATTTAGATTAAAGTAAAATAATAGAAAGAAATAATATGTTTAAATTTACACTTGAAATTAAATATCTAATTTATCTATTTAGAAATTTATATAGGTACCTAATCTCGTACCTAACTTAATATTTGCATGGGTATTTTTATTGAAATCATAAACATCATAAATACATAGATCATTTAATGTTAGACATTTTATATTTTTAACAAATACATAAGTCATTTAATATTAGACATTTTATATTTTTAACAAATAAAAAAATAATTTTCTAGATGGTTTATTTAAAGTGTCTCAGCATAGACACACACCATAGATGATTCTTAGCGCCCCCAGCCTTCAAATTAGCACCCTCAGTTTCCCTGAGTAATTTATTACAGTATTTCACCAATTATTTTTTAATTACTGAGGTTTATTGTTTCGGATAAAATTTTCATAAATATTGTTTTTATTGATAAGGAAAGTGATAAGAATTTTATTTTCAAAATAATTTTTGCCCCTTAAATTTATAAATTCCATTGTGATTTCCATTTACCTTCTTCTCTATATACATACAAATCTATTAAACAAATGAAATTAAAATTTACTTTTGAAAAACGATAATCGAGTACAAGTTGTATCAACCGTATCATTATTAAAATTTCTTTCAGTAGAATTTGACTTAACCATCAATAGGTTTTTTTTTTTTTTTTTTATTGGATAACCCGCGGCAACATAGGCCATTGGGTGTTGGTAGGGAACTGTAGGTTTTTAGTTTGGGTAGGTTGGTACACGTGTGTGTTTGTGGTGGCAGAATTTTTATTGGGGCACCCGTAGGTTTCTGCCATGCCCCGGGTTGGGGGATGGCGGCACTTGTACTCCGGACACCGTGACTTGCCCGGAGAAAAATGCCGCCCAGTGGTCGAGAGGCGAACCCGCGACTGCCAGCGCCGCAGTCGACGCGTTAGACCACTCGGCCACCTCGTCCCCCATCAATAGGTTTGTTCCATAGACATATTAATATGTCTATTGTCATTTATTAATAATCCGTCGGAATCTACAACAAGATACAATACCACTATCGATGCGGTTTTTTCGAGATATATAGAAAAAATTCAATCACAAACATACGTGACATATTTCAGCTACCACAAACCAATATTTACTGTTATTGAGAATACTGATTAATTTCATAATTGCTTTGTACTTTTATAATGATTAAAATACCATTTTTTTATAATACTCAGAAAAAATTTATTATAATTTTATTACCATGCGCGCGATATATTTATACAAGCATTCATTTCTCTCTCTGTCTCTCTCTCTCTCTATCACTATTTATTTATATTTTTCTAACCTTATATGTTTCCGCGTCTCGCATCACATGCACTGAACTTCGTTCCTGCCGAGTGTTCAACAACACTCACTGTTTTTTTATATTTTTTTTTTCTATTACAAACAGTTTACAAATTCATAATTAAAACAGTATTGTGTGAATGCACGTTTCAGTTTTTGACTTAACATTAAATATCAATCATTCAGGAAATCATATTATTTCACTTTATATTCTAATATTATGGTTGGCTACAAAATTATGTTCAAATTAAAAACAAAAATGAGTCAGTCAAACTTAGTGATTTTACCCTGAGTCAACGAACAGAAGCAGAATCTGAAAATAATACTTACTTTAACCACTATTGAATATTGGCGTAGAACTTTTTATTTAAGAAACATGATAGAATAGTTATAAATTTAGAAAAATGTTTTTATGGTGATAGCTTAGAGCCGGCCAAATCTGTTGACAACTTTTTTTAACGTGGAAGGAGATGATAGTTCGGTTTTATATTTTTATAAACACTTAAAAGTATAAGTTTGATAAAAAATAACTAACTATTAAAAATATTTATTACATGCTCATATCTTTTGAAATATTAAACTGTTCATTGTTTGATATCTCAAGATATTTTGAAAATGTCAACACCTAGTTTATCAGCAGAAATGCTGGTGTTAAAAAATAATTTACCAGCCAACTTTGAATTTGAAGACTCGAAAAATCAATGTAACCAAAGTTTGTTTTCAAATGTCTATAAATTAGTTCAAGTGGAAATTCCAATTCTAATTTCTTCTTTAATGTGTGAACGATCCTTCTCAGCAATGCGTAGATTGAAAAACTGATAACGCACCAGTATTGATCAAGAAAGGTTTACTAAGCCATCTACTCTTAACATTGAGAGAGATCTTACCAACAAAATAGATGGGGAAATTATATTACAAACATTTCCAGTATCAAATAGAAAATTATATCTTGTATAACATTATGTACCTACTTAATTAATAATTACATATTATAATGTTTTTTAATATATTGAATACATAATACATTATGTAAACGGTATATTCTTGAATAGACTAGGTATACAGAATACTGATTATATTAACATTTGTCATTTATTAAATTTCCACTTTATTCGATTTATATAATACATTTTTTTATAAATGTTTGATGATTGTGATTTTTAAATGATCTATGATTATTTATCATTTCATTTACACTATTTAATATTGATGAACAATTAACTGATGAATCTAATAAATAAAGACTAGAAAACATTTGTTTTATTACATTTTTATCTGATAATACAATTAATACAAAAGTGTGAAGAAAATTAGAAAATTATTTCCATGGTCTATAAAAGTTACTGCAAATACAAATTTAAACTATAATAAAATGTTTACACCAGTTTGCTAAACTTATGGAAGACCCTAGTTAAACCAACTCTGTGTAAACACATTATCAGCCCTGCTCCCCCTTCCAAAGAGAAATCCTGGCTATACCACTGTCAGGTACATAGTTTTTATATTAATTATTCACAAATATTATTGAGTTTAATAATTATCATAATTAGTTTGTAAATAATTCATTAAAAACATTTCACGCCTAGTTTAAAAATGTCTTAGAATAAAAATATAAATCAATTATACTAAAGATAGGTATTATTTTTTTTTTTTTCAGACGGTAAATTACATTTTCCAGAATTTCTGAAAGTAATGCACAATCATTGTCGTGTAGAAAAACTACCTAATGAAATTTTAGCAGCTTTTAAAGCTAATGATCGTCAACACGTTGGAACTATTCATAGTAAACATCTCAAACATCTATTGCAAGGTTGGGGAGAACATTTAAATAGCAAAGAAGGTATATTATTCGTTGTATTAATATTAAATGGACTTGGTGGTACAAATCCAAGTCCAAGACCTATTTTTCTATCAATTTTAATAAATAAAAACAAATTATTAATAAATGTTATTAATTTTTAGTTGAACAAATTTTTCGAGAAGCCAATGTCCATCCAAATGGCAAAGTTAACTATGATGAATTCGTAAAAATTGCTTGTGCACCAATTCCTGATTATTACTAATTTGTAAATGTTTATTTATTTAGTCTTAAGAATTTATGTATCCATCCCGTTGTGGAATGTCATCCATGGGCGTCACTAGATTAAAAAATGTGGGGTAGCATAAAAAAATATCTTCAAAAAATTTGTATTCCGTTTATTTTTTGAAAGTGAAATAATTTGTCGTTTGCTAATATACGTAATTCTTATGGCTAATTTCATGCCATTGCAATATTGTGGATATTTAAACTAAAATTTTTCATAACATAATTATTGTTTTGTATAAAATATCAACAATTTTAACCATGATATTTCTACTTAATATCTACTTTAGTATGTAACAAGTCATAACTTACAACAAAAAAAACTAATCATTTTTATTAAGACTTCAGTAATAAATATTGAGTATAATTGATGCATTTTTAAAATTCAGATATTTTTTTTTTTTGTGTTAATAAACCGATACCTTTGCTTTCACGGAAAAAAAATGTAAGAGGTAGCAAAAGTATCCCTTGTGACGCCTACGATGCCATCCCTAATATTTTTCCATTCACATACAGTAGAAATCGGTTATAACGAGTTTCGAGGGCCAGCTAGTTTTTCTCATTGTAGCCAGTAGCTCTATATACGTTATAGCGAGTGTTCACTGTAACCAGTCAATCATCACAGTAACCGTCTCGGAGTTAGTACATAATTCTGTATTAATTGCTGATGACTCACCTAAGATTTTTCCAATACCTATGTTGTGCTTCAAAATTAAAGATACAATATACATCAACAAATAAATAAATAAGATATAACTAGCAGGTTGACCTAAATGTTTATATAATAGGAAAAAGATAACGAACGGCTCGTAATAACCGAACATTTATTAACATACAATCATATAGGCTCGTGCAGGGACCTAACGTTTTGCTTGTGTTAAGCAGTATCTCGTTCTAAACGATGCTCATTATAGTGATTTCTACTGTATTTGTAATATACTTGGATTTACACTGCAGGGTATTAAAAATTTAGACATTTGACCATGTTTTATATGAAACTGTTTCTATTTGAATATTATTTATTAATTGTTACTAATTTAGAATTTTATACAATATTATACCAATTTTTTAGCAGAGGATCTTATGAAAATGCACAGTGCACATGTATTATTTTTGGTTTATTTAAAAATTAGTAAAAAAACATAACTTCACTATAATATGCTTTATTTGCCATTTATGTTCATTAAAATATTATTAAATATCAAACATAGTATTAATTATTTCCTTAATGTTTCCAGTAATTATCTTCCATTTTATGGTTAAGGTTTAGGTACAGTAATCAAGGCTGTATCTGAGGGGGGTCCAGGGAGTCTAGACCCCCTGAAATTTCTGGATATGGCCTTGATTGTAATCAATCCACAAGGGTAAAAATGGGAGAGGCAAGAGGGGTTACCGGTATTTTTGGCCGTAACACGTTTGGGCACTAAACGATATTTTTACCTGAGATTCGGGAAAACGATTGGGAACACAAGTTTAGGTACACTTTTTTTCAGACCCCAAAAAGCAATACAACGTTTGGGTAACATAATATTTATGAAATAATACTACGTTTGGGTACCAACTTTTAGGTGCACATTTTTTACTAATATACTTTTACATTTTATTTTTTAGAGCCTTTTGGCGTTACCCAGGAGCATAGGCGGACATTTGGTTGAATTTTTAGGGGGGCTATAATAATCCAATGTAAAGTGACCCACAGGGGCTTCGCCTCCGCACCCCCTTCCCATGCACAAGTAATATATTACTAATATAAATATGAATATGTTTAAGTTGTAATAAAAATAAAAAACACTTAAATCTTAATAGTTAATATTTTATTTTATTTTAATAACAAATACCTATTTTTATCAGTGAATATATTCAAAATATCATTGCTATTTATATTTTTGGGCTTATCTTTTTCAATATACATATAGAATAGAAAAATCGCTGAACCCATCCTGAAGCATGGATGTTCTTAGCCAAGTTTTTATTTTTCTCATTGCACTGAAACTTCTTTCGCAAGTAGCCGAACTGATAGGTATTGTTAATGCTATAGTAAATAGTTTTTGCAAATTAGGGAATATGGTTTTGTTTTCTGACAAAACTCTTATAACATCTTCTATAGTAAAATTCACATTAGAACCAATATTTTGAAGTACAACATTTTTGGCCACTGTCATTTCTTGACAGTTCTTGACACTTACCTTCAAAATTGGACGCACTGGTCCATTTAACATGTTTCCCAGATCGGATAGATCACTGGTTTGGTTATTAAATTTTTCTAAGTCGTTAGTTTTATCTAATTCGTCATTGTCAACTGGTCCACTTAACATGTTTCCATTTTTTGGTATTTCTAACTTAAAATTTTTTTCACATTAAAAATACTAAAATTTTCCATGTTCAAAAATCAAACGTCTCAACCGAGTCAACCGAACAGTGAACTTAATTTAAAATCTTGAACTTACAAATAAATACAAATTTATACAAATAAATTGTCTTCAACAATTTTATTTACCATTTAGGGGGGCTATTAAAATATTTAGGGGGGCTAATCAAAATAATGTAAGTATTTGATATTAATTGGTTTGGATATAAAGTATATGAGTATACCACTATTGTAGATCACGTGTTTATAAAGTGTACCCAAACGTGTCTTGTATAGTATATGTATTGTGTACCCTAACGTTCTCTGATTTACCAGGTAAAATTATAAAATACCTTTTATTTTATGTGGCCAAATGTTGTGTCTATTTGTACCCAAACGTGTTGGCTTTTGGGTCAATGTGACCAAACGTTCAGCGCCCGTATTTTTCCCGAATCAAAATTCCCGAATGGTATTTTGCCCGAAAATCCAAAAACCCGAAACCTTTTTTCCCGAATCTAAATTCCCGAATAAACTTTTTCCCATATGGTATTTTTTCCGAAAGTCAGTATACCCTAAATCTTTTTTCCCGAACACTTTTTACCCGAATCGAATAATAATATTATAATTTATATTTTATAATAAGTAAGTATAAAGTGGCCAATCCGCCTATGTTGTATAGTAAAAATAATTACATATAAAAAATAAAAGTAATAATAATTTAAAACATATAGTGATAGTGTGATAATTAAATATTTAAAAATCGATCATATTTTATAATAAGTAAGTATAAAGCGGCCAATCCGCCTATGTTGTATAGTAAAAATAAATACATATAAAAAATAAAATAAACAATATTAATAATTATTACTTACAAAACAATATTATGCGAAATCGTCCTCAAAAATTGTAGGTCCTGGTATGTATTAAAATCAGCAGTAATGGACATAATTCACGTTTGAAAATCCCGGCATTTTCTTTTTGGCTGAGATCTGACTTTTCGTCCTAGACTCAGTTCCGAGATCATTATCTCTACATCGGCTTGTTCTTTTTGGAACTCACTGAGAGCAGAATAAAGGTCGGGATGATGTTTTCCAATAACGAGCTGGAAGCGATTGTACCACCCCTCACTTACATTGTTTGTTTTATGTGAACCAGTCAGAGCTGCTTGGTGTTGATTCCAAATTTCTGGTGGATACCGTGGAAGATACCCTCGTTTTCTTCCTCGAGCTATTACACCAAGAACATCATTTTTTTCAAAATATTCAAAAATTGGTAATAGATCTTCAGGCGCATCATTTTCCAAGAGCGAGAAAATGCGAGGAACTTCAGCCAAAGGTACGAATGCCAACGCTAGCATCATATGAGTGTAAACTTTCAATGAACGATCGTCGGGATTATTGTATGCGGCTTGAAGACCAGCAGACTGAATTTGTCGATAAATTGATTGGCCGAAATGAAAAAAAACAACAACTAAGAGGAGAATTTGGATACACTTCTTCACATGCGTTGATTATGGATTTTTCAAAGTCAGTCATGATCTTAGACGGTTCACAAACAATCCTGAGTTCGTTAAAAGAAGATTGTACTGCTCTGAGCACAGCAGTATACTGAACAGTTTCCTTTGACGACAACAGTGCATAGACAAATGGCACAGCGACTGCGTCATGAACATCATGTTGTTTGTATGTTCCCAGAATCGTGAAAACTTGTGTGAAAATAGTGGGACACACCTAAGAATTATCAAGGCTGGCAATTAAAATCTTGTTAAAATGTTACTTTTTTGTTAACTAACTTTTAACTTAATAAGTTACAATTTTAAAATATTTAATGTGTTAACCCTAGAATAGTAACGATAATTTACGTGATAATTTACGAATTAAAATACAAATCAGTTGAATGTCCATATAATGGCGATGAAGTGCGATAAAGGCAAGATACCTGTACTTTTTCATAAATATTATCTTTATCACCACATATGTCGCCCAAGGGCCGCGGCAATATGCTATTAATTAAATTTTGAAATTTTTTATTTCGGGAACAATAACCGTTGGGAAAAACGCGTTCGGGAAAAAAGGATTCGGGTTTTTGGATTTTCAGGCAAAATACCATTCGGGAAAAAGTTCATTCGGGAATTTCGATTCGGGAAAAAACGGCGGGTACCGGCAAGAGGACGTGGTCAATTTAAATCTTGAAGAAGTGGGTATTTATATTCCAATTATAAAAAAATAGGGTAGTTTATCATGGTACCGCCATTTAATATGTATAATAAAATTATCTGATAACATATTTTGTAATAATTTGTAACCTCTCTATACCCGGTGATTTATTTAACATAGACACTTATTGACTTATTATTCAAAAAGTATTAATGTTTTTGAAAATTATTTTTGTATAGTTTCAAGACGTAACGAATAAACAAAATACCGTTTTTATTAAAAAACTAGCTGTCCTGCCCAACTCTGTCCAGGCTGAAGATTTTGTATTTTTAATAAATATACCTATTTGTACAACATTTTGCAGAAAGCGTTTGACAAGCAATAAAGTTACCCAGGCAGAGGAAAAATACAACGGGATTTTTATGTGGGAGAAAAAGTTTTAGTAAAAATTAATATATGGAAAAATCAACTTTCAGGTAGAATGGTAGATATAAGGGTCACAATATTAAAGAAAATTAGTCCAGCTACAGATTTACTTGTATTAGATAAAACCGGGGAAAAAACATATTCAACAAAATATTAATAATTAAGTTCAGAAGTCGATCGCAAATAAAAAGCATGTACTATTATGGTTAAAAAATAATACAAAATGCAATGTATCTTCTCTCAAAATATAAAATGAAGGTATTTTAAGATATTTTTACAAGTCATTTAAATAGTTCATAATATCCAGATACGAATTTCTTGCAGGGCAAGTATACACATTAATAATTATAATTATACTACGCATAAGTGCATAACGCATTGTACACTTATAAATAAAAAACATATTTAAGGATATACCTATCAAAATAGAAAATTTAAAGGTTACCAACGAGCAACTGCAGAATTCAAATGAATTACGGTCAGGTTTTTTTCACTCTCAAGGTTAGGTAAGTTAAGTTTTAGCCTATTGATTTAAAAATAAAACAATTCCAAATTGGAATTTGCATTGACCAGTCCAGAATTTTACAAATTTTTAAATATTAAATTCCAAATTAATACTGTCCAGGACGTTTTTTTCTAATTTATTATAATATAGGTAGCTGATCCCGCACTTTGTTGCTCGTAAAAAATGTCAAGTCTTAAAAAAATTATGATTGTACAACTCCTTTTAGGTGTAACTCGCTGCAGTAAATATGACTCAATCCGACTACTAATTATTTAAAATAATTATTATAACTTAATAATACTTTCATAAGATTATACTCAATTGAAATAAATAAATAATCAATTATTAATTTAAATTGATAGAATTTTGTTTTATTATAATAGGTATAATATTACATCATAATGTACTTAAATATTTATTTTTTATATATTATTACTTTGTCATAATAACTCCTTTTGAAATCCAACCAATTTTTTTGAACAATTATATTTAAAAAAAAATAGTTAATAGTTTATACAATATGAATAATAAAGTTTCATTGAGTTATCATTTTTCCATTGCGTCCCATGGCATGTGGTTCAATTGGACTGAATGCAATTGTAATTCTAAAACATGAACAAATGTTAAATATATAATAGCTGTATATTTGCTTAATCATAATTAATTCATAAATAATAATTTACATTTAAAATGGTTTTTTGTATAAGTATTTTAGACTCTGAGCGGAGCGATGAATGTATTGATTTTGTAATGATGTGTGTGTTTTTTTTTTGTGTCTCGTCTCCGTTTGGGGCAGTAAAACTGCTTGGATTTTTTCAACAGTATCTTGTTTGATGAGAATGTAAAGTTTAAAGTGAATATAGTTTGTGCATTGAGGAGGTAATAAAAATCCCTTATCCCCAATAATTTCAAAAGCACAGGGAAAAACAAAAATAAAAATTAAGGAAAAGCGAGAAATTTTTTTTCGACAAAATCGTTTTTGGTTTTGGTGTAACTCTAAAACAAATGACCGTAGATACATACAATTTTCACTTGTTTTTTATATTACATGATTCTATATACGATACAATTTTCAAAACATTTTGATTTGTTTACTGACATTTTCAGTTTCAAATTTTTTTAATATTTTTTCCAAAAATGTCAATAAAATTTTATTTGTCGGTTCTAAAAGCGGGAAAAATTAATAAAAAAAGGCTCCTGATATATTGCTACTATATTAGTACCTAATATACTAATGTCATGGGCTGACCGTCTTCGCTCATAATCGTTTTTCTTATACAATGATAGTATATATCATTGAATTCAAATTTAACACATTAGCTAATTAACTGTATTTTTGGATGTTTTTAATCATTTTTTTACTGTAACACACTTACACATTAAATTTAATTAATATTTTATTCTACTCACCTATTTTCATTTATTTTTAGGTATTTTGTAATCAATGACAACAATGCAGCCGAGTGGAGTTTGTTATCAATTTCATTTATACCACCTACGCTGAGTAATGATACAATTATTGCTGGTTCATCAGAACCAGCAATAAGCATAGGTTGGTCTCCATTAACAAATACTAAAATATCCTAGAAATAATTATTAGGTATATTTTAGCGTTTCATATTTATTATATTAATATATTATAATATTATAGGTATCAGGTATAGGTTATTGTATTACATAATTTAATTTTAAATAGGTACCTACCTACTTAAGAGGACGTGATACCCGCATGTGTTGTCTCCGTCTTACAAGTGCGTAAAAGCAAATTCTACGCAGAGCAGAACACAAGTAACTCCGTTAGTTAAAAATTAGAATGAATTGACCTCTTATAAAATCTAAAGGTAAGATTATTATCTAGACAACCTCGTGAGCTTTTTATAATATTTTAATTTTTAAGCGAGCTATGAGTATTTTAAAATTGTAAATTGTTTATAGATCTTAAAGTACTCATAATTAGCTCAAAGTTTAAATGTTTTAAAAAAAACTATAAGGTTGTCTAGATAATAATCTTACCTTTAGACTTTATAAGAGGTTAATTTACTCTAATTTTTAAAATAACGGAGCTACACGTATTTTGATGAGCGTAAAATTTGTTATGTTATGGACTTATTTACCTATTACGGAGAAAACACATGCGGGTATCACGTTCTCTTAATGAAAACTATATATTTTGTATAATAAAAAAAAGATTATGAACTTACAGATTTTGGTTTTTTTAAAGTTTTAGCAAGAGCTTCTGTACTTTCCACTAAAAAGGCGTCATCAATATCCACATGTGAAACATTAGTATCAATTCTTAGAATAGACATTTTTTTAAATTTACTATAAAAATTTTCAGTAGGTATAATAAAAACGTACGTTTAATGTTCACGTCCTCCTATTTATTAATAACTAATTAATTAGTAACCAACAAACCATTATATATGGTAGGTATATAGCCATAATTAAATTTATATATACAAACAGATGAATTAAATTTTATATAACACATTATATAATAATAGGTACATAATACATTATTACGAACTTTTCTAAAGATCATTTGTATATGTATTTCATAAAAAAAACGTATGTGGGTACCCTGGATCATAATTTTTTTAGGTCAAATAAAATTACGTTTAAAATTAGATAAGTAATATAGTTTATAAAAATTATGATATACTAAAAATATAGGGTACTCTATTACATAAGTAATTAAATCAATCAATTCACAAATTACACAAGACATTTTTTTTTATTTGTACTAAAAAAATTGTTTATTGATTTATTTTAATATTTACTATCATTGATTTATTCTAGGAAATTTAGTTTCCAGTTAAAAAAATAATAGATAAACGTAGGTATATATGAATATATTATATTATTGCAAGATTAAAATCATTATAAAAATGTGTATTATAAAAATATTGTTATTTTGGGTACTTTTATATTTTACCTACTATAGGTTATAGGTATCAACCTATTAAAGTATGAAATCTGTTATTTTATAATTTAATGCACCTACCTACTGCTTGTTGGTATAAGTATTGATATCACAATTAAATTAATACTATACCTACACCAAGAAACTAAATAATATAACTAGATATTAAATTCAATCCCCGATTAAGAATAATGTTAATATTAAAAAAGGAGCTACCTGACAGTTCTGCTGTACGCCTGTACGGTTGTAGGTGTCAAGTGAACCTACCTACTAGTCCTACCATCATTAAGTGATAGTCATTGTAATGATGGTGCATCTAGGGCAAAAATATCCGGCTTAAATAGTCCAAAATAAACTATCCTTGGCAAAGCTGTTTAGAATAAAAAATAGGAATATAGGATAAATATACAGATGATATGGATAATAAAAATAATTTTAATATAATTTAATATATTTAAAATTGCCTTTATCTACTACTTTATCATTACATATTTTAAAATACAATTTCTGGTTTAAAAAAAAAATCAGACGATTAACACATACCTATACATTACAATTACTTATCAATTTATAAAAGTCAATGACAAACATTTTAAATAATGTTCCATATTTCTCTTCAATTGTGGTCTACACACATTTTTAAAAAAAAATTTTAAACTTCAACATGCATTTTAGATTCGGAGCGATGATTGTATTGATTTTACAATGATGTGTGCTTCTTTTTAATTTTTCAAAAATTGTTTTGTGTCTGTCATCAGTCATCACCATCTAGGACAGAAAAAATGCTTAGATTCTCTTCAACAGCATATTTTCTGATAGAAAAGAGAATATAGTTGGTACTTTTGGGGGGTCAAAAGTAAAAAATTCCCAGTAGTTTTCATAAGCGCCGGGGAAAACAAAATAAAAATTAAGGAAAAAGGAGAATCTATAATATATATTCTAACCTCCGTATGAGTAGGTATACCGTATCCGGTATCGTATACCATATACCTAATAACATTTATATAATAATTTATAGTAGGTATTTTGTATTAGTATGAAAATGGAACATATTTTTAAAAAATGTGGACAAGTGGGTACCACTCTGCTGTACAGTAGTTGTAATGGATGTATTATATTTGAATACATTGATAAACCATTGTATACGAAAAACGGTTCTGAGCGGACAGCTTAGTCTTTATAATATTATCATTTCTATTCGTTTCTACTTTCTATGGTGATAAACAAATCGTTAGAAATTAAAATCCCATTTTTAGCGGTTTTTTCGTAATTTGTCGGTAGTTTTTCGACGCTTTCTAAAACTACTTGGAATTTTAAATTTTGACCTCCCAAAAGTACCAACTAGGTTCACTTTTCTATCTGAAAAGATGATTATCTCAAAGATTGAAGCATGCTTACTATTATAATTCTATTCGAAATGTTGCTTACAGACGCAAAAAAAAACACATCATTGTAAACCAATACATTATTTCGCTATGCTCTGCAGAATCTAAAAGGAGACAATTAAGCGTGCGCCCCGAAAGCTTTTCGGGATACCAGGACAGACTTTAATAATACGGAACTTTCTTGCATAAAGCGGGACATCTATTATATGTAGGGTGCTACATATAATACGTCATATTTAAACATAATACTTGAAGTAAGATGTAGTGCATTGGTTAGCTTAGTTATAAAAATGTTATCGAGTTCGTAATAAATGTATTAAACAAAAATATTATATCTAAACTATTAAAAAAATTACCGAAATATTGTTTACGGTAAAATGTCCATCAATATAACTTAGACCAGTGGTGTAGACAAGGGGGAGTGGGGGTCAGACCCCCCATTGTATTTTTATTACCTTAGTAAAAAGTTTTGAGAGGGTGGGGGATTTTCTAATTTTCCCTTCTCATTTAACTATGTAATTTTTTTTTTTTGATTCCCCTCTTTCAGAAATCATGTCTACGTCACTGGCTTCGACTTAATGGTGACTGCCTAGTGCCTAGTGCCTACACACATAAATAATTAATAAACAGCAACTATGTGCATATATATAGTATATATATCTAATTTAGAATTTGATCGATGGTTTGATAAGAGGAAGGCCAGAGGAGATATATTAAAAATGTATAATATGTAGGTACCTAACCTATACACCTATTATACCTACACATATTTAGGTAGGTATATAAAAATATATTTTATATTGTAGTCATTTTTATATTTCTATAATCTATACGGATATGTTTATACGTAATATATGTATACTAAAAAAATACTATAGGTCGATGCGAGGGGGGTTGAAGTGGTTTTGAGGAGGTATGTAATTAACATTATGATACCTTAAGGTACCTCGTAGGTACCTTCATATTGATGTATAGTGTGCAATGTTAGAAGAATCAAGTATAGGTAGATAGGTACCTACCTACTAAAGATCTGTAAATCGTATGAAGTAGGTACAAAATAATGGTGATTTTGAAGAGGTCATAATAAATAGGATTAAGTTTGGATGGATGAAGTGTAGAAAAGCGTCTAGAGTTTTGTGAGAGAAGACTATAGGTAGCTTGTTTAGAAATATATTATAAAGGAGGCCTATAAGATTGCAGAAAAGTAGATTATTTACATTTTAATACTATACCTAGTGAGACACTGAGGCTAGTTATTTTTTATGACTGTACCATGTAATTACCAAGTACCTATGGTTAATTATAGGTTGATAGGTAGGTACTACAGTGGATATTTTAAGGAATTATCACTGGGTGACATTAAAAAAAAATTTACGCTGACTATCAAAATCGACATATTATGAGCTTATAAAAAACTTTTCAGTATTAATTATATTAATTAATAAATAGTAATTATTAATTTTTAATAATAGTTATTATATTAATTATTCATATAAATTCACAGAATATTAATAATATTACACCAATACCATTGATTATAAATACTACTATTTTTACTAGTATTTAAAACCAATTATACGCATATCATATTATGCAAGGAAATTTATTTCATTTACAATTATTGTATTTTGTAATATATTATTTTCATTGAAAATAGGTACTGTATTAAGTATAAGTCCAAGTTTAAAATATTAGATTTTAAATTATTTTATACTTAGATACCTAAAGTGACGAAAGTCGTCCTGTCGTTGTAGTATCGTATGACGTATTAGGTACCTTAAAAGCTTGAATGTTTAAACTGTTTAAAGGCTCAAAGTGAAATAATTATTTAGCTAATAGCTTGTAGGATCAAGGACTAAAATAAAATCAAAAACAATCAATTTTTAGATATTTTCCGGGACGACTGATGACCATATGAAACATATCGCATTGTCGCTTGCCGCGCTTTCTTGCATTGTATTATTCTATATTTCTATGGATACCTACTGGCTACGGTGAACAATCACATGGGTTTTTCATTCTTAATAATGATTTTTCAAATAAAATGATATATAAAACATAATAAATATATAATATTTATTAAACATAATAAATAATCAATAAATAAAATTATATAATAATTTCAAACATCGACATTTTTACAAAAATCGTTGTCACCCAGTTATTAAATATAATATCATCTACTAGACTACAAAAAGTTTCCTTTAGGCGTCATTTCTGTCGCCCAGTACCTATATTAGTTAAAATATCCACTGAGGTACTAAAATCTGTAAGAATTATAATTATATCTACGTGTTCATTATGTATTATATTATAGCCTATGGGTGCCAATATAAGAAATAGGAATAGACTATGAGATAATTTTTGTTGCGTCATTCGTTTTTTAATGAAATAATAATTTTTTTAATTCATTACACAACAGATGATTAAAATGATAAATACGGAGTACCTATAATATAATGAGAATATCTCATAAAGTAGTTAATATACTGGAGCTATACTATTGGTCAACTTGTCTAACGTACCTATAACTTCATTAATCAGTTGAAATTATTCATATAGATTATTTAACTATAGACAACAACATGCCAACTTTAAGCATTACTACTAATATACCAAAATACAAAATTCCATCAACATTTTTAGCTGATGCATCAAAATTAGTCAGCCAAGTACTCCAAACACCAGAACTAGTAAGTTAAATGTATTACATTTTTATATATTATTGATACCTCCTATACGGCTATACCTGAATTTCAATTTCAAACAATATATTATATTATTATAAACATTTTTAGAATATTTCTAATTTTAGTTTGTAGTGTTTGTACCTATTCTGCAGATCTAAGCTTAGAACTTGAGATCAAAACATATTTTTTGTTTTTCTAGTTTCGACCCCGTTTGATTAGGTACACTTAATCGTCAACATTTACCAATTACCTACCTATATTAAAATATTTTGCCCAATGACAGCCCTTAATAGTGAAGAATTGAATTGTATACAATTTTAGGAGTTTACGAGTTATTATAGGTAGGTACTTCTAGATTGCCTCTATAGTTGACACCACATAGGAAAACCTGGGCCATATTGGAGAAGCGCATAAATAAAACAATAAGACTTGTGGTGTATCAATATTTAATTTTGATATCTTTCTATTAACCTAAGATAGGTACACAGGATTTTACTTGACAATAGTTATAAAATATATGATTTTTTTAAATTAAAACGGTACGTACATGGTACACCTCCAGGGAAGTCCCGTTTTAATTTCATCAAGATCTGATGAAGCCTAGATTAGAGAGCCGAACTCCTCAACGAATAACAGTTAATCACTATAGTAGGTAGGTAGTAGGTACTATACTAATTAATAGCGATTAGTGCAATAGGTTAGTTTACACATTTACAGTACCTATACATTTCTAAATTTGTTGACGGTTATTTTTTAATAAACAGGGTGGGTCCCATTATGCATATAGTTTTGATGAAGATCTGATGAAAGCCTTTCAGAATTTCAAAGATGAAGAACGGAATTATGACTTATAAAGAATTATAACCTACAACCATTCCCGATAAATAGTGTTTTAATTTACATTATACATTTCTAAATCTATTTGTTTCCTTTTTTTTAAATAGGTACATAAAACGGGCATTTGCTCAACATTGGGACACTTAATAGGCTATTAATAAACATAGGTATTACAAAATATGTGAATCCTACATAATTTGAATCCAGTTTTTATTTTATACTAAATACCATCGAAGTTGGATATCATGCTGTTATAATGATAGGTACCTATAGGTAGGTAACCAGCGTAAATTTATCCATATAGATATAGATTATGTAGCTTCATTTCCGACAGAGATCTCTCGTTGTGTGGTACCTATATTTTTATTAATTCATCGCTATCTAAATCAGACAAGCAATTATTCCCATCTTCGTAAGACGATTCATTTGAAAACCGTGCTCGTATCAAATAAAGGCGATGATGCATTGGTGCTCCTTCATTTCGTTTTATAAGAGTTCGGGTATCGAACTAGGTATAACAATATGAGCATGATTTTCCATGTTTTCGTATTGGAGTTTAAATATGCTCACATTTGTGAAAGCTTTATTCACGTTTGTCGTTACTTTCTTTAGATCTACCTATTCTCCAAAATATTTCTTTTCCTATTTTTATTTAAACGAATTTTTTTTACTTAATTTGTTTCAGCTAATCTTTGCTGTCTCATACGAGCAGCGTGTTTAGTAGTCTAGGTACCCATTAAAAAAATATTAAAAAAAATAAAAACTGACTTCAAATGAAGTTCACTAAATGCCACTAAACCATTAAAGAGAATACAATTTAACAGTGCAATAGTTTTTTTTTTTTTTTTTATGTTGGTGCCAAGTCACGCCACAAAACTTTCGTGAAACGGCAAAACATAAAAAAAAATATTGTAACCTATATTGTACCTATAGTTCGAGTTGGTTTGAAAATTTGAAATAGTTACCTTAATACCTTTTATTACTTGGGTAATAATATACTTTTGGAAGTAAATTATTTCTTTTTTTTTAGTGATTCTTATGTACCGTTTTTAAGTCGGTTTTTGTTTTTTTCTTAAAAATTACATTTTTTAAACTTTTCCAAGTATATCTAACTGCATAGTTTGTCAGTACCTATATCATGTGCATTTAACTTGTTTAAAATATTGAATAATAAAAATGTACCTATTATATATTACTTACTGTAATATAAGTACCTACCGATCATATATAGCCATATATTTATATTACTTATATGGGCTATGTTATTATTTATTACTTATTATATAGATACCTATCTAGCCATCTAGGTAACCTATAGGTACATCAATATAAATTAATTATTTTAACTATCGCTATACCTATATATATATATATGATTGATCAAATTTAAATATTACATTTTTTCAGTATATTGCTGTGAGAATCAAGGCTGGACAACAGATGCACTGGTATAATAATGAATCACCATGTGCACTAGGAAACATAACCGGAACTGGAAACTTTGGAATTGATGAAAATAAGCATTATGCTTCAATTATATACGACTTTGTTGAAAAACAACTTGGCATACCACAAGACAAGTATATTTGGTTTTAAATTAATTAATTATCTGTACAAATTATGTTTTATACCTATATATATTCAGTTTGATATTCGCCTAATTATTAATTATTATGTTTTGTTGATATCCACAATTAATATAAACACCTACTTTATTAGCTATATAATTGTTAAAATTTTAAAAAAGTCAATAGACTTCACCTAAATAAATTTAAGGATAAATATTACACTTTTTAAAATTTTAAACTTCCGTAAATTGTTACTGTAGATACTTACATGCAGTCTACAATACATCGCTCTAATAAATTTTTAATATTGATGAAATTATTATTGTTTTAATAATTTGAAATAAAAATAATAATTTGTTTTGTTACTGAATAGTAAATAGAAATATACAATAAAACTAGCTAAGAACTAAGAGATAATGTTAGTAAATATATAACATTTATTATAGAATATTAGAATTATAACTAAACAGAAATATAGTACAAAGTAGGTAATTACCTACTTGCTAAGTTCCGTAAATAAATATTCTTATTCATATGATCTCATTTAATACGGATCTATATCTAATATCTATACATAATATGTTAGCAAGGTAGATACCCATGTTTTATTTTAAACATAACATTCTATATTATGTTTGATAGTTTTAACTTGTGCAGTTATACGGTTATACCTAATTAATAAATAGGTACAATTTTCACTTTTTATTAAAAAAAATTAGTGGGTACTATTAATACAAACATTATTATTGCTATGTTGTAGATTTTATTTATCATTCGTGGAACAAAAACCAAGCAATATTGGAGTCCGAGGTACGACTTTGGAAGAGATTATTCAATAGATTGTCAGATGTTCGATGATTATGTGACAATAAAATAATTGTTTTTTTTTCTTAAGTCTTTTAAATCTATTGTGTAATAATATTATAATACTAATAAATACCTACCTACTTTATTTTAAAACTGTATACTTTTTTCTGAAACTATACGACTGTCAATTGTTAAGTAAGGTAGCCGGATAGGTAAGTAGCCCATAGAATGCAAAATTTTATAAACCAGTTTTTATTTTATTTTGTATTACGACCATGGGCAAAGAGATCCTATAAAATATTGAGAGGGGCTCAAATATTTGGTAGCAAACAGATCCCTATACACCCCAATCAAACCAACTGTTACATGTAACTCAAACATACCTAATTAAATATTTTATGGTAGAATATGTAGAATATTAGAATGTAGTACCAATGAGTACAAATTTCTAGTTATAATAATAGCTATTTATATTGGCTATGAACAAGAGAAATTAATGAAATACAATTAAAATTTTTAAGTTAATTTTATAAATTTATTACACTTCTTGTTGAATGTGTTTAAAATAGGGTATAGAAAGAATATTTAGGTAATGATAACAATTTTAGATTAAAAGTAGGTACCTACCTACTAGAAAAGTAATTGTATTACAAAATACAAGTGTGGACAAAATGGGATTGTCGCATTTTAAGTCTTACCCAGGTTTCACCTATATAATTTTAATGATACAATGATCCAATAGCTAGATATAGGTACAAATCACAAATGTACAATAATTATATAAACACAGTTAAAATTTAATATTATTTGATCTTGTATATTGTGACATTGGCCATTGGGTATTAGTCGGTAATCGCAGTATGTCCGCAGTATATCTTAAAATATAAATATCACATAGTTTCCACATTATAATAAATAATAGGCATAATTAAAATATTTGTTTTACAGGTCCAAATACAATTATATACCTGCACTAAAGTACAATATGGCCGATTTTATAATTTTTAGGGGGACTCTAATTTCAAATAAATTATTTTGGGGGGAGACCCGTAAACCCTCCTCCCGATCACCACTTATAATTACGTCATACTGTGTGCACCACAAAATCTTAAAGTGCACTAAAAAAAAAAAATTTGCTCCTGAGATTTTATTTATATAAGGCAAGATTTCATGTTCAACCGTACTGTGTATTATATAGGTACCTACGTGATATTGTTATTTTTCAAATGTTTTTGAAAAGAAAAAATTTAAAATTGTGTTCATTGGGTGTAATGTATAATTAATTAATGTACCTACATCATGTTTTCTATAACTGTGTGTGCATCTTCTATATTCATTTAAAACACTAAAAAGAATAATAAAGTAAAAACCAAGGAAAATATTATGGTTTTTAGTCGAAGTGTTACATACCTAGTGTAGATACTGAAATACTAGAGTTTGTGAGTGACGATTTGATTTTGAATAAATAAATTTATCATTATAATTATAATTGAGTAAACTATTATAGATAGTAGGTACTAAAAAAACAAAATAAAAATGGACCACAATATAACTACAATATTATTATATACATGTTAGCCTCCCTTTTATCAACAAAGCCCAGTGGCGCAATTAGGGCTAAAATGTTGTAGGGGCTGTAACCCCCCCCGCTGATATTACATGAATAGTAACTCGAGGGGGCGATACTCCCACACTCCCATTTATATTCACTTAATAATATAAAAATATCATACAAAAAAAAAACAGATATTTATTCACTCAAGTTTCATTATTTCAATAATAATATTGGGGAAGCAGATTAACAAAACGTGCTGATGGAAACAATTTGTACATACCGATCCGGAATGTATAGATATAGTTTTATATTGGTAATTTTACTTTTTATAATAAATTAATTTTGTTATTGAAACTTTTCAAGCTTTTGTAGCTAACTGTGTACGCTGGAAGTACAATTTCTACTAATATTATTAAATACATTCAAATACTCTTCACTTAAAACAATGTGTATGTGAAATGTCGGGAAAATACATACTATTTCCCGACTCCACGTAGTTGGAAACCCACCAAACCATCAGTACGACAGGCATCGGTAGTGTTAATCTGTCTTCCCAATAGGTGTCTGTGGTAATTGGAATAAAAATTCCCAGACTACAATACTACTCACAAAAACAAGAAAATGATTGAACACATATTTTTTAAAAGCTATTTAGGGTAATTTCCACATTATTAATATTTAATTACAAATATATACTTATCATTAAAAAAATTAATATATAATAAATAATTTTATTTTGTGATTCTGAATTTGTAAAAAAAAATAATTTTAAAGGCTCATAAAAAAAGAAATTGTGACTATTTTTAATTTTTTTTTTCTAATTGCGTTATGAACCTCTTATAAAGAATTTTGTTTTAAAACTTTTTTGAAGTACATTTAAAAAGTAAACTAAAAGACTGAACAATCCAATTGTCTGTAAATAGTCCAAATTGATCTAAAATATTTTTTATTGCATTTGATTGATTGTAGCCACCGCACCGCGCCAAGCCACTTATTGCAAGTTTTAATAGCCAAAAAATTAAACAAATTTCACCTATTGGCTGTTCATTTCATTCCAAACAAGTGTCACATATCTATCGATGGCATAATTAAAACAAATAGTTTATTAATCATTACTATTATTAATTTTATTTTTAAGGTAATACACAATAGTTAGTACAATATATGTCTTAACTTTTAATTGATTTTATTTATGAACTGCCTAATTAGATAAACTCTTCAAAATTATTTGACATATGAAATATTTGATAATAAATAAATACCCACCTACCTACCTTCCAGTGCCGGCGTTAGGGGAGGACAAATGGGACATTTGTCCAGGGCCCCGCGCTTGTTAAAGGCTCCCGTGATTTTTAATTATCATCTTAATACGAATACCGTGGTCTACCGTCGTATATTGCATTATTCTGCCTGTAGCGGTCGCGTACTTAGATATTAAACAATTTATTATTTTATTCAAACATTTTGATGAATTAATTTATTTTTAATTGATGATTTTATGTAGTTGTTAAAATAATTGTAAATTAATAAAATAACCAGTCCTTATGAATTTATTAGCCTACGATTTTCCACTCAAAGGTTTAACTGAAACTCACGCTACGCCACTAATTCTGTGCTGAGCGAGGTTTCATCAGGAGGAATCGCACTCGAATGTGTTGTCTCCGTTTACACAAGTAGGTAAGGTAAAGTGGGGTAAGTGTGACGCAAAAATGAAAAGTTAATTTTGAATTTGACAATACTTTTTTTGTTTTTAACTTAAAGTTGTTATTGTTCCATAATGTAACACCTCTAGATATACATAATTGGAATTTATAGTCAACAAAGTTATATTATCACTCACCTAAGAATAATTTTTTTTTTTTTAAATTTTAAAACGTCACACTTGACGTGATATATATATCTTATTTACCTATATTATATATAAAAACAGTACTTTTTTTAAAATCCTGATTTAAAAAAAGCTAAAATTGCACTACTCTCTGAGAACGTAAAGGCTATTACCTATGACCAGGGCCCCGCAATATCTAGCGCCGGCACTGCTACCTTCGTATGTTTAAAGGTACCAATTAATACTGAGTCATTGAGATTAATATCAATTTCACATGTTTAAATATTATTTTTATATTTAAATTTATTATGTAATTGTATATAGAAAAAATAATCATTTTGTTACACAATTATAAGTTATAAGTTATAATAATTACGTTAATTATCACTATAATAAAAAAAAAATAAAAACAAAAACATGACAGTATATCTGACTAACTTTTTTTTAGATTGTTAAGTTTCTAATCACTTTATTATGTGATAAATGTTTATGAAAAAAAATTAAAATCAATTAATAAAATAAAACATATTTATTAATATATTGGCATATTTTATAATATGTTTATTCTATTTAGTCATTATACTAATGTAACTATTTAGTTTTTGATAATTGTAAATAAATCTCTTATTAATTCAAACACAAAACTAAAATGCCAATTTTGCAAATTGATACAAATTTGTCAATGACTAATGTGCCGTTAGATTTTACAGTAAAGACTTGTGAACTAATGGCAGATGTATTTAAATCACCAATAAAAGTAAGATAATAAACTACTTAAAAAAACATTATAATATACTTTTAATATTTTTATACATGTTTCGTATTTTTTTTTTAAATTGTTAATAAGTTTTGACAGAAGGATAATGTATGTTTTTTTTGTTTTAATTTTATATTTTTAAAAACTAAGTTCTGGTATGGTGATGAAATGGTCATGATGATTTGCATTCTGACTTTCTGAGGATTGTTTTTGTTGGGAGACCATACGAGAATACTTAGGAAAAACTTCTTAAAATAATTAATTGTTGAGATAAAATAGTATCATAACTGGTATAGTGGTATATCTTAACAAAAAACATTGTGATTTAGATAAGAAATTATCAATTTAAAAAAAGGTGGGCAAGTGGGTGTCGCTCTGCTGTACAGTAGGTTACAAGTGGGTCACTGTATAATGGATGGTATTAAATTTGAATTCAATGATATAATATCATTGTATAAGAAAAACGATTCTGAGCGGTGACGGTATGTCAGTCTATGTATAAGACATATTATATATTTTAAATGATATACACCTAATTATTGTTAAGAACTTGAGATATTAATTAATACCTATTTTAATTTGTACATTTCACTTTTTAATTATAGTTTTGTGTTGTGCTCATAAATCCTGATCAAGAGATATATTGGTATGGGATAGATGGTCCATGTGTCTTAGGAACATTAAAACTAGTACGCGGTTCTGGAAAAATCAGTCCTGAACAAAATATTAGTCATGCTGAAAAACTTGTAAAACACATCAGCGACAATTTAAAACTAACTAATAAGAAGTATAAGCATATACAATCATTATTTATACAAATGCAATGTTTCAAATGTATAACAAGATTCTTAATTTATTATTTCAGTATATCAATATCATTTGTCGAACAAGATCCAGAAAATGTTACAATATTTAATACTACTGTATCAAACTTTTTACAAAATAAAAATTAAATATTGTCGACACAGTACAAAAACATAACCTGTGTTTCAAATTATTTAATTATTTAAAAGAAATCTACAGCTCTTGAACGTTTGGAAACATTGATATTCAATAAGTTATCAGTAAGGTTTTTAGGTACTTCATACGGTTTTTTCTGATTAGTAGGTGTAGATTTTTTAATATTGCTTTTTAATCCAGAAATTGATGGTGATCTAGATGGAGTTGTATGTGGCGATGGACTATAAGATGCTCTTAATGCAGCATCTCTTCTTCTATCACTACTTATACGGTTACATATAAGTCTTTGAGCTGCTGGTGACATAGAATTCAATCGATCCAATGGACTACTCATTAAATTAGAAGGCGATGGTCTACAATATTATAAAGAAAACAAATAATAAAATTAAATAATACATATGAATGAAAAAAAAATAATAAGACTCCTTACGTAGATAACTGTTTTCGGGCTGTCTCCAGAGCTTTAATTTTTTTATTTCTATGACCTTCACTAGCTTTTTCAGCAAGTGCGTGTGCTAATCTTTCACGTTTGGGCTGTTCAGGTATTTTGAAAATAGGACCAGAATTATGAGGAGTCAGTGGAGTGTCACTACCATCTAAACGGAATGGAGTACCTTCAATTTCTCCCCAGGTCATCAGTGGGCTTTGACTAACACCAGGAGCAGGTGATGGTGTTTTAACAAATCCATATCCATTAATTTTAGGCGTAGCAGATGTTAATTCTTTGCCATCAACTCCAATTTTGCCATCCAACTGTCTTGTCTGCATGTGTGCTAAACTGCATAGTTGTTGTTTGTTATGTCTTTCATCAAATGGGTTTAATTTGAGTCTCGTGTTGGAATGCTCAATTTTTTGCCGTTTGGATGCCATATTTATAAGTTCATCTTTTGTCAACGTTACCCCATCAGGAATATACATAATAAAGTTTTTGTTTTTAAATGCCCAGGAATCTAAATTAAATGCACGTTCTGTATTAGATGCTTGACTTTCAATTGAAGGTACTTCTAGTTTATCAACCATTTCTAATGCTTTTTTTTCACCCTCAAATAACCATGCATTCTAAAAAAAATAAAAGTTTTAAATTATATAGGTATTCAATTTAATAAAAATATTTATAACTCAAAACCTTTTTTTTGTATTGAATTTCTGCTTCTTTAATGATTTCATCAAAACTATGATTATCTTCACTTGTAGTATTGCTTAAAAATTTGTCCAATCCAATAATTTCTGAAAAATGTTTTGTGTAATATAATTATGTATAATATAATTACATATTATGGAACATTAGAATATTTTAATAATACTTTTGCAATTGGTCATAAATTAATAGCCAATAGACTCAATTGATTTACATCATTTGTTCCAATAAATTGTTCTTTTGGGTTAGCATAACCATTGTATAAGGAATAAGAAGTATGCTCAAGGATAGAACTGAGCATATTTTCAAGGGGTACCTAATGTAAAATGTAAATATGTAACCAATATAACTGATGTTCTCATGCTTAAATGCATGAGAGGGCTTGTAAGGTTCAAACCAAAAATATTGTTTTGCTTAAAAATTTATGGTGACACTTTCCATGACACATAAAATCTATAAACCATGTATAACAAAAAAAAAATGAATCTAGTCTTAGCACATACAACTTGATTTTGTGGTAGTCGTGTTAACTTAGAAGTACTGATTAAATTTGTTTAAAATTGTTGTATCTACTAACCAGTGTCTTTTGATCTAGAATCATCATGTTTGCCATCATCTAAATCCGTAGGATCAACAGTTCTACTACTCATTGGTCCTTTAGTTGGCTGTGGCGTTTCAAATGTATCTGGGCTAGCATCTGTGGATGAAAAATGAAAATACACAAATATTACTGGTAATAAATAATACCAATACTATTGGTGATCAATAGTTAATAGTCAAAAGGAAAAAAAAATAGAAGATATTAGTTACTATTTTTTTTTTTATCACTTGCATAAATTAAAAATACAACAATCAAGTGTTCATATTTTTTTTTTCATGTCTTTTTATAAAATGTATGATTAGGTACGACAATGACAGTTAACCAAATATCTTCAAAATTTCAATTCCTATTCTTTATTAATATGTTAAGACTTCAGATTTTTTTTTTAGTTTTGAAACAATTTAATAAATTGTAAAACTACCTGGTTGTTCAATAAGCGATCGCTTGCTTAAACTATACTTTTCATATATTTCTCTTAATTTCTTTGTATCATTTTGTTGAACCGCATCTAAATAATCTTTTTGGGCTTTCCATTTTTCCAAATCTGGAAAGAAATCTCTTTCTATAATTTTACCAATACTCTGGAACAAACAAAAAAAAGTAATAAATTAACACTTTATAGGTACAAGTCAAGATAAATATGGTTAGTTTTTGGTTGGATTTTTATGGCTAACCATAATTGATGAATGATGGAAAAATAAAATTGTAAAGTGTAAATTATAAATTTTTAGTTATAATATTAAATTATTGTTGATGAACGTTTTATTTATTTTTAGATTAGTAATCAATCTTCAGACATCAAAATTAAAATTAATTTTGTTTTTTTTTTTTGCACAAAGAATAACATTATCATTAGAATCGCAATACCTTTTGGATAATATGGTAGATAAAAATTGTATACAATTGTGTAGCCAAATACCTATTTAAGGTGGTGAAATTTCAGTGTGGATACTAGGTAGTGGTTAAATTAAATGGTTTACTTAATACAGTAGTCGCCAATTATTGGACACAAGGTTAATTGACTCATTCGCCTATTAGACTCAAGTCTCAAATGGTCTTGTCCCAATTTTCAAGTATAATTATACACAGAAAAAATGTTGTCCGTTAGTCTCCATCACCAGTAAATGGGGTAATTTGACAATATTAGGTTAAAATTACAGGGACCACTATTGCACCAAAAAGCCGAGGATTTCACAAAAAAAAAAAATACATGATGTTTTATACATGTAATACAATGTGATATGCCAAAGTAGTTTTTGTAATATCCACGCACATAAAATTAATGTTGGTCTTTAGATTCATTATTAGTGATGCCATTCCTGAAGTAAATACCCTACTTTACAGATAATAAGCAACTCGAAAAGTATTAATCAATAATATTTATGTTTATTATATATAAAATGAGATGTCTAACCTATAAGATTTATTATTATTTTTAGATATAAATTGGTACCAGTTGTACTAGGTACTTTCAAAAATGTATTTTTAAGGGCCATTGAAGTTGTATAGTCTAATCAAGATCTTTCCAATTTTAAGCATAAACAAGGTACATTGATAGGTATATGTTATTAATTATTACCTCTAAATATTCCTCTTCAGGCAAAACTGTCTGTTGTTTCTTTGCATCCATCTTATGGCCTATGGGTTAGATATTTGTATGAATAAGGAAATATGTTGCAATAGGTACACAAGATTGTAATACTATAATTTGACACTTTCTAAATAAATAGTATAAAATGACACAATAGACATGCAAAACACTGATATGATTTCAAGTTGTAAATTAAAATTATTTGTAAATAGTAAAATACTATATTATGTAATAATATAGTATGTATATAATAATTATTATAAAGTTTTTTAGTAAATTATAATGTGAAATTTTAGAAATTAACAATTATTACGACTTACGATGTTGTTAATTTCTAACACCAACAAGGAATATTTCTGTGATTGTAATAATATGATAAATGATAACGCAAAGTCGCAAAAGTAAGTGTTGATAAGGACCACGGCACGGACCACGGACTAAGATAAACAGGACTGGAAACGATAGACGGGAGGAGTGCGGATAGCCGGAACCATAGTGTAACGCTTGTAGTACATGGACAAATGTGGCTCTATCTATTGATAATATTTAGCATTTGTTACACATATATTTATTTGCATATTATTTTTGTTTTATAATGTGGGGCGACAATCCAAAACGTACTATTGCCAAAATTGAAGAAATTGAGTTACATAATGATTCTTATAGAAATTAAGGCAGGGAATCGAATAGTGCAATCAAATTGTGACAAAACGTACTATTTCCCTTGTTAAAATCAATCTGAAACTCATAAATGACGCAAAACGCACTGCCAAAATTTGTCTAAATGCACTATTTCCAAAATTACGTCAAAACGTAGTATTGTCCATGTTAAATAGTTTGTTTATTGACAAATACGTACCAATTACTCGAATTGTACAAAACGTACAATTTCCAAAGTAGGCTCATATGTACTATTTCCCTAGTATGAAGATAGGGAATATAATTAAATTGAATACATAACGTACTATTTCCAAAATCGTGGAAAAAACGGGTACATTTACAAAATATAACATCACCTTTACCTATACCTACCTAATTGATTTTGCTTTAAAATATAATTAGGTATTCAGCTTATATTCTATGTATTAATGTATATTTTTTTCAACAATCATTTAAAATTGAATCAATACAGTGTATACTATATTACTATGTACTTTAAACAACAAATTTATTTCAGTTAGATATATAAGCAAAGATTATTAAAGAATTAATAAAAACTTACAAGTTACAAGGATATATTTATTTTTTATACTGTAACGAATAATGGTGATCACTGGACACTGATGTATTAATATTTCGTAGAATGGATCATAGATGGCGTTAAAATCGCACTTGTACCAGAAGCGTTACACTGTAGTTCCATAGATGACTATCTCGTTTCCAGTCCTGTATATCTTAGTCCGTGGCACGGACTAACCCGATGTAGGAAGACAAAATATTAACACTGGGAGCGCTATTGTATGATGGGCGATGGCACAGATTTGAGTTGAGATTTCTTAATTTCTATATGTTACTGTAGCAAGAAGTCTGTCAGTCTGTGTATGACGGTTAGGCGGTTTCCCCCATAGATAATATAAGAATGGATAGGACCATAAATCATAATCTATATAAAACAGAAATTAGAAAATTTTGGAAAATTGCAACTATATACCTGTATAGGTACACCTAACCTAACCTTGAGAGTTTTTAATTTGAGATTTGTCACATTTTTTTATTGCGTCTCATCCAAAAAGAAAAATTAAGGAAAAACGGGAATTTTTACGCAAAATCTGTTTTCGAGAAAATCGATTTTGGTTTTTGGTGTAACTTTAAAACAAATGACCGTAGATACATGACATTTTCAGTGGTTGTTTATATTTGCATTTTCTATACACGATAACATTTTCAAAATATTTTGATTTATTTTGAACTGTTTAGGGACATTTTCAGTTTCCAATTTTATTAGTTTTTATTTTTATGAATATCAATAAAAGTTTATTTGTTGAGTAAAAATACTTGAAAATTTAATACAAGGCTCCTACTATATTGTTTCAATGACAGATGAAAAATATTAAAAATCGTAAGTCACAGTTTTTTTTTTAAGCATTTAAAGTTCAAAAAATGACAAAATATGGAAAAATCACGAAAATTTGAAAATTATTTCGAGTTAGAAATTCATAAAAGTTTTTCTTTTTAATTCTAAGATACGAAAATGTAATACAAGATTCCTTATAAGATTTCCTACATTTATCAAAAAAAAAAATTCTATAAGAAAGTATGGAAAAATCACGAAAATTAGCAAATTATTTTGAGTTAAGAATTCGTAAAAATTTTTCTTTTTAAATCTAAGATTTGAAAATCTAATACAAGATTACTCATAAGATTGTCTACCTTTATCAATAAAAAAATTTCTACCGGAAAGTCAAATTAAATTTTTATGAGCGTTTGAAATTCAAATTTTTACAACATTGGATATTCACTCAATTTCTCATGTTTATATTAGCATTTCCTATACACCATACAATTTTGAAAATATTTTGACTCTTTTTGAGCCGTTTACGGACATTTTCAGTTTTCAATTTTTTTAGTTTTTTTTTTCTATAAATATCAATAAAGTTTTATCTGTTGGGCCAAAAAGTGTAAACAATTAATACAAGGCTCCTGATATATTGTTACAATAGCAATTGAAAAATATTAAAAATACATAGGCACAATTTTTTTTTTATAAGCATTTAAAGATCGCATTTTGACAAAATTTATCAAAATCTCGAAAATTATCAATCATTGTAATTAATAAATTATAAAATGTTCAGTTTTTATAGCTAAGGATTGAAAATTTAAAAAAAAAGATTCTCATAAATAGTTCATACAGTAGCCAAAAAAAACTAAAAAATATATGAGCACAGTTATTTTTTACAGACATTTTAAGTTCAAATTTGGGACGAAATTACATATTAAAAAACCTAGCATACCTATTTTAGTTATTTTATTGTGAGTGTATAATACTATTCGTGGGTACTTGAAACTTTTAAAGTACACTATATTATATATCTATGATAGTATCAGGGTTTGTTATTGATGTATAACGTGTTATAAGTACCTAATGGATATTGTGATATGATTAATTTTGAATTTATTATAGGTCAATTTTTTTTTAATACCATAGATATGTATATAATATGTCTTAAACCTAGACTGACATACCGTCTTCGCTCAGAATCGTTTTTCTTATACAATGATATTTTATCATTGAATTCAAATTTAATAGCATCCATTATACAGTGGACCCACTTGTAACCTACTGTACAGCAGAGCGACATCCACTTACCCACCTTTTTTCTTATTATTCATATAATTTTGCATTTTACTGTTTAAATAATCATGAATTTTGGCAATAAAAATGAAACAAATTCCGGCAAACGAAAGCGGATTAAATTAGAGTGCTTGGAATGTGGCAAAACATTTGACAATGATTATAAGCAAAAACATGAAAAAAATATACATAATGGTAAAAAAGTTGGTACCAAACATTTTGGTGCTCCTAAAAATCCATTCGAAGCTTCTAAATCAAATTCAAAACAAGTAAGTAAAAATACTTAAAGTACTTAAAATAAATAATACTAACTATCAGTATTATGTTATTAACAAATAAAAATTAGTAAATTGTATTAATATTTATGTAAGTAGATATAGGCAGGTACTAAGGTACCTAATGGTATAATTTAAATAATAATATAAATATAAATATAATATAGTAGAAAACGTATTCGAGCGAAGCGAGAAAAAAATTTTTCAGTCGTCAAATTAATAGATCTACCACCCCCCCATGAATTGTTGTTCGGGACGGCCCTGCCGGCGATTATTACTTCATTCCTTCCCTAGTTAAAAACACAAGGTCAGAGTTAATTTTACCGGTCATCGCATAACGTGGGACGAGGGATCGTGTCGCGTACGGTCGGTGGAAAAGGCCGGTCATTCAATCTTTCATCGGACCGATACCACATCGTCCGCCGTAAAACTCATCGCCCGAGCGGCACCATTGAATTATTATTTTATTATAATTAGACCAGTGGCGCAGGAACTATTTTTCATTAGGGAAGGGGGCAAAACATATCACACCTCTAACAACTATTAGGTATATTATATTTATTTGTGATATATGACAGCAACAACCTTTATTAATATTTTAATCTTTTAATGTTGATAATTTATAGGATTATAATACAAGAATTATATAATTGTATTGATATAATCATAGGATAATATAAATATAAATACATTGTATTTATACATTTATATATTAAAATAAAACATACTTACTTTAAAAACAATATATAAATTAAAATTAAAATTACTCAATAGTTTATTATGTATTATATTATAATAATAAATAATAAATCGAATAAATATATTATGTTCCTTCATTTACATCATAACTTGAATATGAGCATAAGTGTTTTGAAGCCATGATTACGAGTACCTAAACGTATATTAGGCTACCTCTATATAATAAATATTTAAGATATTGAGGCAAATAAGTATTGAAATTGCTCAACCACATTTTGGTCGCAGGTGTAAAAAATAAACAAAATAAACAATAATAGTTTAAATTAAATTAAATAATTAAAATATGAATATTCATTACGATAGAATATTTATATATTTCCCAATAACCAATTATACCTACTTACTTTCAAAAATAATCTGGAAGAACAAAAACAAAAAAAGTACAGGAAAACGGACAAAAGGAGAAGCCGAAATATTTACAAAATACCAGCTTTCAAAAAGAAGAATATTTTAATTTTTAGTTACAATTAAAAAATTAGTACCCATAGATACATAACATATTCACTAAATATTTATGATATTATAATAAATTCCATATACACACAATACAGGAATAAAGTGTTACAACAATTTAGATTCATTATCATAAAACTTATGGCATTTTCTTAAAATTAGAATCTGATTATACATACATTATATATACAATTTACATTAAGAGGACGTCTCACCCGCAATCATGTTGTCTGTATAAAAACATTATCTGTGTTATCTCCTTATTATTTATAAGCCATAACCTTATTATTGGATTCATATTATATTACCGAGGGGGGTAAAGTTATCCTAGTATAATCGTACCCCCGGTAAGATTATCCGGGGGTACGATTTTACTAGGACACCGGCACTGCCCACTTAAGCTCGGTAAACTTTAAGCGTTGTACGGGTGCGTAAAACACCGAAAATCGTGAACTTCGTAAGGCTATGCGATAGCAACTTATGATTTCCGTGAGTTAATTTTTGCATCATAAATCTTATAACTGGTTGCAAATCATAGGTTTCCAAAAAAAAAAAATTGAAAAATTTGCTTGGGTGCTAAACTATATGGTTTAGACACTAAATTAAAAAAATATTCTATTGTTATAAGAAATTGTCTTCAAATTATCACTTTTAATTATTTTATATAGTGATATTATTGGTAGGGTAAGTTAAATAGAAGAAGTTACATAAGTTTTTTCACCTGTAACAAATAACGTAAAAAATATTTATATCCACAATCATTTCTGTAAAAGAACACACGATTTATCAATAGACCGTTTATGTGCTGAGTGTAGAAGTTCTATGGATTTATCATATTAAAAAATATATTTTATATCATCTATGGCAATCGCCAATTGTCGAAATTCGTCCGCGACGATTAACAATTCTAATAATTTTAGTGAAAAAAAAAATAACAAGCCATCAATATAGACAGATAGTTCGTTAAGCCGTATATATTATAATGTAAGTTTTAACACGAATTCGCACAATTCGTTATGTTCAGGTAATTTTCATAAAATATTTCGATAATTTCAAGTTACAGTTCGGAACGAGATGAAGATAGGTAGCTGTTTCTTCGGTGGCGTCACGTACTCGACGTTTGCATTGTTGATGATGCACTCTAGCGAGGTTTCACCGGAAGAGTCGATGTTTCTGCGTAAGTTTGTTTTCATATTATTTTGGGATAACTTTATTTTTAGCATTATTATTTTTAGGCATTTTAATAATTTAAAACATAATATAACGTAATGTTGTAGTAGAAGCTGGAAACTGTAGTAGATACCTATATTCTAATTTATAATCCAATTAATGTAATTCTTAGAATTTTTTTAATTTTAATGTAACATTTATTATGCCTACACAAAACACGCTTACCTTCCAAAATTGAATTTTTCACAAAATTTGTTGTTTTAACAATAAATGACAATTTTAGGTCCCTATTATGGTGAAAGTACCTATTTAATACAAACATACAATTATTATTCGAAAATACAATTGCCTATATTATTATTTACTAAATACAAAGAAACTTAAAAACAAAACTATGATCATTGATTACATACAGAGTACCTATAATATATTATGCATGGAACACGAAGGTTTATTTTGACTACCTACTTATCGTGTACGCATCAAACACAAAATAGAAACAATAACAAAAAAATAAGAAACTAAATATACATCATAGTAAAATGAAAATATTCATCGCTCCTATCAGAATCTAAAATATAAATCATAGGTATCCGATACAATTAAATTAACATAATATTAAATAATAATTAATAATTTTGTGATCAGCAGTATTCGTAGAAAATGTTAGACTTGGAATTTTACAAATCTAGTTGGTATTATGGTAGGTACCTACTGTAAATTTGATGTACTTAGGCACTGTACATCTTTATGTTAACTCTGAAATCCAGGAATCACATTTTCATTTAATGATTTTTAAAATACAATATTACCTATGCTTTTAAAAAAAATGAAATGATGTAAGAAGACTCACTCGTAAGAGTATGACATGACGCTGGTATGACTAAGGTAAATTAATTTTGTTTAGGAAAGTGGAAAGAAGGGACTATGCTTTTATAAAAATATGCTTGTACTTCTGATATATATTCACCATATTAGTAAATAATGAAATTAAGAAACGAAAATAATAATTAAAATAATATATCATATTTAATTTTTTTATGATTGAAATTCAAAATTATAAACTATTTTGATTTTTGTCATAATATAAAATTTCAACGAACAAATATTGTTACTTAACACGGAACTCTTTGACATAAAAAGTTGCGTTACCTATATGATATCCGTGGATTCATCATATTGACGTACCTAGTATAATATCTATCATTTATATTCCATGGCAAATCTTAAAGTCATTGCAGAAGACACAGTCGTCATTAAAAATTCCAAAATTTCAATAAGCAAAGCAGATATGAGCAAAAAACTTACTGCGTGCCGTATAATTTTATTTTTCATAAATCACAACATTTTGAGTTCTGTATATTATGGAGATTTTCCTCGTCAGCCTCGCAGTGAACACACGTCACGGATTCCGCCGAAAGAATCGATGTTTAAAGTAAATTGGTTTTCATATTCTTTTGGGGCTTAAATTTACTTTTAAAAATTAAGATAAATATTTAATGTCACGAAAAATGTGTTATTATAGACGCAGATATTTATATTTTATAAATAAAATTCAGTAAAAATCAGTAGATATACGTGTTCGTTTATTACGGTGTTCGCATATCACGTTATTCTTTATTACATATTTATTAACCTAGTATTTTATTCCAGTATTTTTAAAAATCAAGTTGATTTATTTCACAATAGTTTTAAAATGTACAAAACATGCAATAGTGTACTCCGTCCATCACATTAGTCAATATAGGTACCTACCTATATTGGCTATATTAAAATTAGTAAGCCCGTGTATAAATTATTTATATAGGTACCTACTTATTTTTTAGTTTTTTATTACCAAAATTGTAGTATGTTTATATTGAAGAATATGTAGTATATATTTAAGAATATTTTGATAACTTTGACTGCATCATATTTCGATAATATTTAGTGCAACAAGTCAAGTCCCGAACCCTAAAATTTATTTATATACGAAAACTGTAAAAACTTGGTTTTAATCTGTACTTAAACACCCCCCATTTCATAATCCTGGCTACGCCACTGGCACAGGTATTATAAATATTTTAATCTGTAACGCAAATTATAGGTGTGACGCCACTGCACATAAAGCCAGTTGCGTGTAGAACATTTTTTTTGGGCAGCAATTTTCTGCGAGTACCTACCGGCTACAACTACCATCTCCTAGTTTAAGTTTATTACTTTTAATTTTTTACTCATTCCAACTGAATTTGTCATTCAATTTTATACGATTTTATACGAGTAACTGAATAATTTGCATAGGTCCACTTCATTGAAGTAACTGCAGCTGTTGAGTAATAATACAATTATTATTTTTTATAACTATACTCTTTTCAGAATAAGAAGGAACCAGGCGGCCACGGACAAAACCGGTTTTGTAACGTAAATCTGGTGCGTTCTTATTCTGAAAAGAGTATATTGTTATTTTTTTTTGAATAATCGATTGTTCTTTAAATACTTTATAAAAATCGATTAATCGATTATTATTGATTTGTATTATAATTATTGTTAATCGAGCATACTTGAGTCGATTAACGGATAAATATTGCGAGTCGATTAACCGATTGTTTTTTACGATTAATCGATCTTGCGATCAATCGATTATCTATAATCGCATACCCCTACAGTCCGTTGCACTCGTTCAGACTAGGTACCTACTGAAATTGTGCAAAATTCGAGCATAGTAAAAATGTTAACATTACCATGTTCCCAAAAACGTCGACCCGTAGAATATGTTACAAATGTGGACTTAGCAATAGGTTATACGTAATATCGGCCAATACTAAATACGAGCATTTACCTAAATAGGCTAGAACTTATAAGTATATAATATAACTCACGATTAGTTTGTTATATATAATGGGCCAAGTACTTACGGTAGTACACTGTAACCTACACTTTTGTAGATTGTACGGTGAGTGAAATTTACATTATATAGTTATTAGTTTATTACCCCAAACTCACTGATCTATTCAGTCTTTTGCATCCGACCAAAAAGCCAATAATAAACACTTATATCTAGGTAGTAGGTACCACCTACATCTATAAATAATAAATATATACATTATCTCCATGCATAATATTATATTATATTGCACGCATTACGGTTTTCATAATATATTTTAACTTTTATGCATCAGTCATAGCGAATTTGTAAATTTTATGGCTGGTTAATAAGAAGCGGAAAATATAGAGATGCCAAAATACACTCTATATTTTTATTGAATGTTGTAGAAAATGTATTATTTAAAAAGAAAAAAAATAGTTTAATAAACTTGAAACGATATATTATATTATATTTACCTATTCAATTATATACCTATAACCTAGGTAGGTACAGTTCTTGGATTCTATGACCATTTTGTAGAGTCTAAAATTAACCTACTGGATTTCTACGTCATATGATTTAACCGTTTTAGGTTCCTAAACATTAGTTTAGAACTTTAGAACACCTTAAACCCCCGTCGTGCTGTCCGTTCATCCGTTAGTTACCAGATAATTAATAAATTCTTACAACGTATATTATTTCCAAGAAACAGTTTTAAAAATATCGTTACCATGTACAACCATATAGTTATAATAACAATTTTTTTGCTTATTTGAATTCCACTATCTGTTTGTCCGTCATACGACCAACAAGAACTTACTGCCTTACGAATTATATCATTTTTTTCAAAAACTGATAAAATCTTTCCGAATTAAATCAACCTATTATAATGTCGTCTATCACCGTATCCGAAGAGAACGAGTTGTCGGGACTTGTAAAATCGCTGGCAGAACGACTTCTGGAAAATGTTTACACCGAACTGAGGAACTGCTCGACCATTGTGACCATAACTCTGTCGGCTAATGAAGATCATTACCGCGGCCCTGAGGAAAATCCGGAAGTCACAAGGCAGACGCGAAGTGGTGACGTCAGTCTCGTGTGTGAAACGCAGTTTGGCCCAGTCGGCGACTGCGTTGAAACAACGGATCCGTCAAGCCGCTGCGTCAGCTTGAAAGAGTTATGCTACGTCGCGCTGGCTACAATGGCAGGTCAGCCGACGGCTGAAGGTTATATGCCGAACATTGCCATAGAGTTCTCTACGGCTGACGTAGACACAGAACAAGAGACTATCGTGTCGTTCGGCCGCGTGTTGGTAGCTGTCGATGAGACGGAACCAGTTCACCGGCTCGAACCGGAGGAACGTCAACCGGCCGAACCCTGCAAACGCCGGCGTTCGCAGTGGAAGAGGACCAAACAATTTCTCCGAAGGTTACTGTGTTGCGGCCGTTATTAAGTGAGGCGAGAATCGTATGTACCTATTGGACTAAAATTGTTTTTGCACTGTATATTTAAAATATTTTTCACTGTTGTATTATGTAGATATCATAAATCAAATATTCATTTAATAAGTAAATTGCAATATCCCTGGTTATCTTAACTAGTATATTGGTTTACATATCGTTACATATCATATAAACTGTCAGTTTGATATCTATTAATATATTAGGAATATTATCATTATATCATGTGATACTAAATAATATTTATCATACAAATATATCTAGGATATTAAAGAGGAAAATGTTACAATTTAAAAAATAATAATTACCGAAATGTCTTTTAAAATTAATATGTCTTTATTGACTTTATGTCTGTGTTGTAAATTTCTAAAGACACTTGGTTTTGTGTTATAAATAATAATTGTACATATTTCATTTTATTTCTATGTATTAAATGCTTATATTATCATAATTTTGGAGTTTCTAATACAATTAATTTCGATACATGTAAAATAACTTATTCAGTATTCATTTTTGATGAGGCTCACTGCCCGTAATGTTCTAGCCTGTCCAGCATAGGTCTCCAATCTACGACCCAGAAACCACCATACTGATGAGGAGGTCGTAATATTTGTTTAGTATACAAACAAACGTGTAAGTTTTCTTGGAAATCTATACTGTTTTTTTGGTTCAGTTAATTCAAAAACAAATAACCTCAGATGGTAATATTATTACTTGACATTTTTACCTACCAAATATTCACATATAAGCATTTTCTGTACATAACGAAAATTGTCAAAATATTTTCAAATTTTTGAACTATAAAAGACATATTATGACTTTTTCGATTTTTTTTTTCGTTAAATGTCGAAAAAACAGATCTTTACATAGGTTACAAAAAAAAAAAAAAAAACAAAAGTTTAACTTCAGTACAATTATTTTATAGTCACGATGTTCACAAGCCACATAAACTAATTTTCCACTAGCGTGTTGACGCTTCCTTATAATAACAAATAATTTAATAATACTTAATAAAAACATATTAAATAGATAACAATAAACTTTATTTGGGAAATTCATAATTATACAATACATTTGCAAAAGGCATAACAATATTATATTCTAGGTGTACATTTTTATATTATACAAGTTACATATTTTTATATAATTACAAGTTACATACAGTCACACTATTTAAAATTATATACAAATGACAAATGACAAAGGAGAGGTTTTAGGTATGGCATTATATGGTGTTCGATATGTTACAATATAAAACATAGATTTTAAAGCATATTATTATGCTTATTTTTTATATGCCAGATAAAAATCTAATTTTTATACATAAATTAATTTTATGCTATTCTGATTCCAAATAAACCACTTAATGTTTGCTTTTTTGCAATTACCTATTCCAGTTGTGGCATTTTAATATGTTTATTATGCTATAGTCATAAAAACAAAGTTTAATTTAATTAATAAGAAATGTAAAAACCCGGATACGGACTAATATTTTACTTATTAAATGAATATTTGATTTATGATATCTACATAATACAACAGTGAAAAATATTTTAAATATACAGTGCAAAAACAATTTTAGTTCAATATGTACATACAATTTTCACCTGACTTAATAATGAAATAGATTTCATCTATTCTGTGGTATTACTACAACCGTGATATGGGAATTTAGACAAGAATTGGCTGATATAATTATCAATACATTTTGGTAACGTTGATAATAATGTAAAATACCAAATAAATAATAAATATCACTTGTACAAATACTATATCATTTTATTACCTATATGTAGGATATAATCTTGATCACCAATGAATAATTCTGAGAGGGGGGGGCATAAACCCATGCCCCACCCTCAAATACGCCACTGGGCGCAAGTGCATTGTATACCAATATCATGGTATAAGTAGTAAACCCATATACTATAATATCATGTGGAGTAATCAATGAAAGATTTAGTGAAAAGATAACCATATTATAATAATCATATATACGATCGACATAATCGCAATAATCGCGTTATAACACCAGAGTCGTACAGACCTACAGTATATTACGAAAACGTGCACCACAAATAAAAATTACCAAAAAAGTTAGACCTCCAAAAATTATATAATAACTAGCTGATCCCGTGCACTTCGTTGCCCCGTTAAATGTATCAATTCTATATGTCTCAAAGTTTGTTCAATTCGTTATTTAATATTCGGTGTATGCGGTGTTCAAAATTAATCTTAACTTTTCCGTTGCCCCGAATAAAAATTCTGATTCGCAACAGTAATCTACCTGCGATAGATCGCGTACCCTGTGCTGTTTGCTTATTATAATCATTTTATACAAAATCCCATCCTAACCTAACCGTACTAAAACCCGATGAAAAAAAACAAATTTAACCCTTAGTAAATTAACCTATCTTCTTCCCAGACGTCTAATCTACCCACAAACATTAATTTATATATATATAACTATATAAATACACGGACTATAACTATACAGACTCTGGAACTACTTATTGGATCTTTTTGTATTTATTATATATATATGATATATGTATACCTATTGACAAAAAATAATGATACAAATCAAAAACATGCCCGATTAACCAATAGCAACCGATATAATATAATACACTGGTGGATTTTCCTAACATTTTTTTTTCATATAAACCTTATCCATGAAATACTCTTTCATTTAAAAAAAATAAAGACGATCTGATAAGAAGCTCCAGAGATAAGTAGTACAGAGATTTTCATTTCACATTTTTATAGTTAGATATTATATTACAATTTATATTTAAAAAGTAAAGCAAATGGTTTTTTTTTTTATTATTTTTATTATTGCAATAGCTTAAAAACCCATGGCAACCATTTATAAACAAAAATTTCCATCGGAAATCTCAAAATTCCCGTTTGAGCACCTCCCGGGGTTGGTCCTCTCCCTTTTTAAATTAGCCTATCTTTTAAGTTGGACCAAATTACACGCGGTGTAAAAAATTTCATCAAAATCGGTTAAGTGGTTTAGGAGTCCATTGAGGACAAACATTGTGACACGAGATTTATATATATTAAGATATCGTCGGAAAACTGAAAGTCAGCAGCGTTATGGAACGTATTTCGGTTAAAGTCCCATCGTCGTCGTGGAAATAAAGCTCCATGAAGGCAGTTGGTTATGACTGCCTGGTCGCGGCACTTCGCTGTACTATACTTATTTCATATTATTATATTTTACGAATATAATAATACACGACTGCTGGTGTAACGGCTTCTTTGTTGACTGGGCCTCATTTAGGAGGAGAATAAATTATTTCATTATATTATATTACTCACACACACACACACACACACACACACAGCGTACTAGTGATGATCAAAACAAGACCAAGACCAAGACTTTCAAAATCTTGGTCTTGCAGATTCAGTCTTGGTCTTGGTCTTGGGTATACACCTTAATATTGGTCTTGGTCTTGGTCTTGCAGACTCAGTCTTGGTCTTGGTCTTGCGCAAGACTCTTTCAAGACTCTTGCTATTTTCACAAAATATATTAAAAAAAAACTAAATACCTGTTATAGCTGTGTGTAGGTTTTTTGCTATGATCACTAAGATGAAACTTAGTCCAATATATTACATAGTATATTCATAAATCAAACATTAACATAAAACAAGTCAAACAATTTAATTTTTATTATAGGTACTCGTTTAAAACTTTGCATTTTAAATTATGCTTGTATTATTTTACTTGTATGAATCAATTTACCAGCATAATTAACTTTCTAAGTTCCTATTGCATTTATAATAAATATCAATAGGTTATTACTAATTGCTAATTACTAGTTATTGACCAATATAATGTTTATAAAAATTAAATTGTTGTTTTTTTAATGTTCACTTTAACTAATAATATTTAAAAAAACTGTATGGTTTGTTCCAAATATTAAATTGCTTAATAATTATATTAATTGTTATAATGATAATATTTATTATTTATAATTAAACTTTTATTCTTCTTTTATTCACCAGTGTCTAGTACAGTAGTACTAAATGTTTAAGTTTCTTTTAATATAATATATTGGCAATAAACCATTTCTGTAAATCTTATTAGGTACCTACATTTTATTTTTAGAAAAAGTTTTTAATTATCTTAATGTCAACTAAGTTAAGTAGTAACATTGTATTTAAGATAACTGTAAAGTGTAAAGTGCATACCTACATCAGTACAGTAAGTCAGTAACAATAACTAGGCATAACAAGGTGTATTACTATTTACTAACAGACAACAAGTTTACGACACTAATGAAATGCTATAGGTACTGTACTGACACTAGTTTAAGAACACAATGTGCAGTACAGAAAAATCACACAAGCTACGAATGAAAATAAAAACGTACTTCCTATTAAAATGATACCTACCGTAGACCGTAATGACTTTCAGCAATTATTAGTATATTCGATTCAAAGTAAAGGTGTGTTATGGACATACATTATTCTATTAGCAAGACAACATTCGACGTTTTATCGTTTTTGGGAAAATAAAATAATTTTTCAGTAATTGTTAATTAGTAGGTATATGAAACAACTATGTTATTTTGTAATATTAATTCTCATTATATTTTTAATCTTTTTTTCAATAATTTCCTCGAATATAGCCGTATATCTAACTAATGGTGATCTACAATTGAACGTATGTATTTATTAAAACATAGGTAGTAATATATTAAACACGGTTATATCAATAATCTATATATTATATAAAAATGAATGTATGTCAGTGTGTGTGTGTGTGTGTGTGTGTGTCCATATTACCATGGCAACCATATCTGTATATAAAAAACAGTAAGCTGATTGACTGCTATCAACGCACAGCTCAAACCATTGGACGGATCTGGCTGAAATTTGGCATACAGATAGCTATTATAATATAGACGTGCGCTAAGAAAGGATTTGCCAAAATTCGCATTTTAAATAGGTGCTGAAACAGGGACATTGAGATTCACGATAGAAATTGGAAATTTTATTTTTATTTATTTATAGTTGCCATTGGTTACAGTCTACATTAGAAATTAGCATTTATTTATTGGTTGCCATTGGTTATTCGGGCAGATCAGGTACAAGCTTGCATCAAATCGAATTATTGAACAATGCTTACCAGGGTGGCAGAGTTGCACTTACCGCAGAAAATTACACCCAAAAGGAGTTCAACAATCATAATTTTTTTAAGAGTTGCGATTTTTTACGAGCAACCAAATTTATTATATTAATCCACAGTATTACATCAAAATAAACTTGGTATAACTTTGATACTTTAGAGTTAAATCATACACTTCCGTACAAACAGCACGGGGTCCGCGATCTACCGCAGGTAGATTGCCTACCTGATAATGTACTGCTGCGATTCAGAATTTTTATTCAGGGCAACGGGAAAGATAAGATAAATTTTGAACACCATACACGTTAATGAATTGAACAAAGTTTGAGTAGGTAGTATTGAGTTGATCCATTTAACGGGCGACGAAGTGCACGGGATCAGCTAGTATTATTATATAATTTGTTAGGAAGGGATCCGTCTATTGAATTTTACCCAAGTGCTAGACAAATCGTAAATATTGGAAGTAGTGTATTATACCAATGCCGAGTAACTGGAGGAATTCCTACACCTATTGTCAAGTGGACTAAACGCAATGGTGAAAGTTTACCTAGTCAAGTGGAAGAGATTCCACCGGGAATAATCAAGTATAGCAAAATTAAATAAAAACATCATAATATTTTATTTCAAATATACTTAATATCATCTCAATGTATTATGTTTTAGAATTACTGGTATGGAAGCATCTAGTGCAGGAGAATATGTTTGTGAAGCCAGAAACAATGCTGGCATGGCATCAGCTATAGCTGTACTTGAAGTCCAATCTCTTCCTGTTATTAAGTTAAGGCCATCTGGTACTATAACTGTACTACCAGGAAAACAAGTTAAGCTTCGCTGTCAGGCTACTGGAAACCCATCACCCACCGTGACATGGACTAAGCTTACACCAGATTATCCTTCTTACCCGTAAGATTGGTTTGATTTACTGATTTATTGAATTCAGTTTTAACTAAAATTTTACTTTTGCAGGGAATCTCGCAGTAACTCAGGGTCTTCTGACACAGCTGAATATATAATAGAAAATGCTCAACCATCAGATATCGGGACTTATTCCTGTATAGCACAAAATTCTGCCGGACCTGTGGAAGAACGAGTACAACTGATTGTGTCTGAAGATGGTTACGAAATATCTGGAGGAGAATATGATGGAAAAATAAACACAAATGAAGAAGAAAATAAAACATCTGGACCGATTAGAGGTGATATAGCTGGAAATGACGAAAGCGGAGGTGACATTCCTAACACAAAACCAGAAGATGAATTAGTGAATTTGGTAGGATCTAGAGCAGTCCTCACTTGCAATGCTGGTATGTGCAAATACATAATGATCTCTCATAGTTGTGATACGGTTTTAAAATATGAGTCCATCTTACCTGTTTATAGACGCATCAGCAATTAGAGATCGAATTCGATTAACGTGGGTGAGAGGTAACCAACTCTCATTATCGGAAGAACATGATATTATCAATAATATGCTAATTCTAAGAAATGTCCAGAAATCGGATCAAGGACAGTACAACTGTTTAGGGATAGAATCCGATAGAACTGTCGTTTTTAGTCGATCCATTACATTGAAAGTAGTTGGTAAGTTCAAGTTCAAGTTAAAAATAAAATATTTTCGTCTCAAATATTTATGTTTATATGAAAATAATATAATATTTTGTAATTACTAACACGCTGACAGAAAAAAATCAACTTTGTACCGTTGGAGGTAAAAAAAAAAATTAATAGTTTTGCATTTTTTTAAATAATTACCTATTCTATAATATTGTAATAATATGAACTATAATCAAATAAACTTGTATGTTTTAGAACCACCAAGAATTTCTTTGAACCCAACACGACAAGTTGTTAAACGAGGTGACAACGCTCAAATTATGTGCACCGCATATGGAGATCAACCTATTACAATTACCTGGTCGAAATTATCATATCGGTCATTCCACCTACTGTACAAACAAATGGAAGATTTTTAAGAGTAATATATACAAATATTTATATTTTTTTAATTCCTTTTTATACCTTTATTTTGTAGTTTAATGGCATCACTGAACAAGACACTAGTAGATATTTATGTAAGGCTGTGAACAACATCGGAGAAGCTGAATCTGTTGCTGAAGTCATAGTGAACGGTAAAACTTTAAAAGAATGAACAAAACATAAATCTATAAGATACATATTGATAAACAGTTTAACTTTGAACTATTCAATGTAATTTTTAAATTATACTGTTTAGATAACTCACGAGATCATCCTGCTCCAATCATCAGAGCAGTTGATCACAATCAAGAAGTATTTGAAGGCGGAACCACTAATCTTCGGTGCATACTACCCAAATCAACTGAAGTGAGTAATACCATCAGTTATAACTGATAATATATAGATCTTTATACTTATCGATGCTCACAAACATTCAACAGCAACACACTGTAAAATGGAGTCGTACCCGATCACCACTTCCATATGATAGTCAATTACGAGGGGAAATACTAAGCTTACGAAATTTACATATGAATGACACTGACCGTTACTTATGTAAAGTCGATAGTCCGTTCGGCACAACTACCGACTACATAGATCTCCGTGTTCTCCGTAAGTCATAAACAATAAATATTATTTAAATAATACTTAATAGTATTGGTATCTTTATTATTTCATATTATGTTTAGACTTTTTTTTAAGTTATGGACATCTTATATAGAACGCATATCTATAAATTTATGAATATTTTTCTTAGAAAAAAATTATAATTTGGTGGTGGTAATTTAAAAAAAAAAATACTTGCATTTTATTACATAAAACATTTTCTTCTAGCTACACATTACACAATTTAAAATATCTATTTCATGTTTAATAATATTGAGGATTAACTTTACAATATAATACTATATTTACACTTTTACGAAATTGTAGAAATAATATATAAATGTAACTTCACTCAATATTATAAACGTTTGACCTAACTTTTTAATTACTACCATTGACTTTTAATATAAAGTGTATTTCATCGTACATTCAATACAATCAATACACTGGTCGAATCTAAACGTAGTATGTGAACTATCTACTTTGGGATTTTATGCAATTTTAATCATCTAGATTAATTTAATAATTATCAACTACTCACTTTAGTGATGCGTTATGTGCGAGTAATTTATGTTGGTATGTAGTACGTATATGTGACTGTTTCTTTACTTCTTTGTTTGTCTGTAAATTACTGAAAAACATATTATACCCAATGTTTCACTATTAATCATCACTGGTTTAATACTATGATTATACGTTTCAAGTATATAGTTTTACACTCTTACTATGCACAAGTATCTGTTTATCTGTTGATTATGTACAGGGTGATTTACCAAGAATGCGCCAACCTTTTTTATTCAATAATGCAGTTATTTTTAGTTTTTATTTATTAGTATTTTAGTTATTTAACATATACTAAGGATAAAAGGTCCATGATAATGGGTTTGGAAAATATGGGGTATATTGTGATTTGAACATTTTAGTAATTAATATTGATCCATCAACATTTATAATTTATAAAAATGTTCCAAGTACTTATATTAAATACTAGATCCAATATCCAGTGCGTTTACTATTTTAAAATAAAAATAAAAATAAATGTTACATCCATTTGATATTTTTGTGAAACCATTTTTAAAAATTATTGCCAAGGACTATTAACCTTAATATAAACATTTTAATAATTGAGAAATTACTCTTACAAATTTTAACTTAGGTACATCAAAATTATCCACTAAATAATTTACAATAAAAAAGGGTAGGGGGGTTTTCATTCTAATAACAAAAGTGTGAACAACCCCAGGATACTCATTTAGTAGTACAAAAAAATCACAAGAATTTGAAAAATTAAAATTCCAAAAATCAGAATTTGAATAAATTCAATATGGCAAAAATGGGGTGGCATGCTTGGTGAATCATTCTGAATACAATTAAAACTAGACAGTCACATTTTAAATATTTTGACGCGCTTTTTAATTTATTTATCTTCGCTTAACACTTTATATTCTAAAACACTGCTTTGTGTAAGTAGAACTATAAATACAAAAACTATAGTCATTTTATACATGTATAACATTTATATTTTCTTAACTGCCTATGTATATTATATATTGATGTACTGTACTTGTATCAACTTTGTAATACGTCCTGCACAATATTGTTATTATTTTGTGTTGTCTCTGCAAACAATACATATTTTATCATAATTACTTTTCTTATGTATAATGCACCAATTTATGTTATAGCTAAATTTTAGTTTTAATATTATATGATTTTATTACTTCTTGCACGATTTTGTCAACTTCTATTGTGGTTTTCGCTTTTGGTGATGGTGGTTGTCTATGTTAACAAAACTTCAGCATCTTGTCTGAATGACGAATTCCGCTGTAATGACGGGCAATGCATTAATTTTATAAATTATTGCGATGGCGTATCGGACTGTTCCGACGGTTCGGACGAAGAAGATTCGTGTTTGGAGAAGAAAAATAGAATTGGTTTGTCCCCGAGTTTTTTTTTTTTCATAACTAACTTATAGGTACACACATTTTGCTTTCTTGATTGAAGAAATTCACCAATCAACCACACTGGAACTATTCACTTGTCCAATAAATAAATGTACATAATACATGCTCAAATGCTTACGGCTATAATAGTTATTTTTGTTTCAATACGTTAAACTCATCAAGAAAGCACTATACCTAACCTAACTACATATATTGTATATAAACCATTAATCATTATTATATAGATACGTATATTATTTCAACCTAACTCAGGTAAAACTGTAAAATACATTAATACATATTACCGGCTGTCTTATATTAATAGTACTTACTTGTGTTTTGATATTTTAAACGACCAAACGTAACTTTGTATACATACTGTGTAAAGGTCGGAATTCTGGTCTTTACATTAAGCCCAGTCAAGGAACGGTGTACATCGGCGACGTTCTAGAGCTTGAGTGTATTTGGACCGATAGCGCAAGCGCTAGCTAGTACAGTGAAATTACGTGGGCCAAATTAAACGACGACATGGAAAACAATGTTGAAAACCTAGGATCCGTAATCAAGTGCGTTATTTATGGGTTTAACAAAATCGCTCAGTGATTTAAATTTTAAAATTGTTTAATAACATCGGATTGACCACTACAGGTTTAATGACGTGAGATCAAAGAACACCGGAACTTACAGATGTACGAAACGAGATAAAAACAATAACATCGTCACTGAAGATTACGAGTTGACCGTTACGCGTAAGTTATAATTTTTTTATGTTAATTAAAAACTGTCTAACCATGAATTTATACAATTACGCTCCTTGGATTTGCTTTACCTATTATGATTTTCGTAAGTGTTTCAAAACATAAGGTGTTCACTTAATATCAATTGTATTTCAATTGTATTTCTCGTTTACATAGCGACTCCGTCCGACGCGGCTTCGCCATCAGTGAGTACCAATTACGCGCCATACGGAAAATCTGTTGTAATAGAATGTAACAGCGATCTATCGCTGCCAGTTGAATATTCTTGGGCCAAATTTGGACCTCAAATGGAACCTATATACGATCGCGTAAGACATGTACATTTTCCACCATTATAATAATCCTCAATATTTTTTAGAGAAACTTAACGCTGTACAACGTTACTGAAAAGAGTGCCGGACTGTACTTTTGCACAGCTTCAAACGAAATGGTGAGAATGGATATACCAACGGTGCTTGTCGTCACCGGAATCGTACCCTCATTCCACGGCACTGACAGCTACCTAGCGTTCCCGACCCTCCTTAACACTTATTTGGAATTAAACATCGAAGTTCACTTCAAACCCGAAATGAACGATGGTGGCGTTATAATAATAATATAACCCTTCTTTTATTTATCGGTTTTAAATTCGTTGTTTATGACATTATATTCTAAGGATTGATATTGTACAACGGTCAGAAACCTGGTGGCTCGGGCGACTATTTTTCGTTCGGGCTCCGTGACGGCATTCCCGAGTTCCGTTTTGACGTCGGATCTGGGGCTGCGATCATAAAGGCGACAGAACCAGTGACATTGAACGAATGGCACGTGGCTAGGCTCGAAAGGGTTAAAAAACACGGTAACATGTACATCGACGAACGCGGTCCATACCGTGGCGTCAGTCCAGGTACATTCCAAGGAATGGATTTGTCTCAACTCTTGTACATTGGCGGAGTTCCCGACTTTGGGTCGATACACAAAGACGTCGGTTTCCAAACCGGATTCATCGGTAAGTGCTCACAACGGCTGAAAACCCGCGGTGTACTCACGTTAGCCCCCAGCTTCGAAATTTTAGATTCTGAGTGAAACGATGAATATATTGATTTTACAATGATGTCTGTTTTTTTTTTTAATTTTTTTTGTGTCTGTACACGATAGTAGTTGAAATAATGCTTCGATTTTCGACTTCAGTATCTTGTTCGATTGGAAAGTGAATATCGTTGGTGCATTGGGGAGGTCAAAATTTAAAATTCCCAGTACTTTTCAAAAGCGCCAAGAAAAACAAAAGAAAAATTAAGGAAAAACGGGAATTTTTACGCAAAATCGATTTTTCAGAAAATTGAATTTGGTTTTTGGTGTAACTTTAAAACAAAAGACCGTAGATACATGAAATTTTCACTGGTTGTTTATTTTTGCATTTTTTATACACGATAACATTTTCAAAATATTTTGATTTATTTTGAACTGTTTATGGACATTTTCATTTTTCATTTTTTTTTTAGTTTTTTTTCTAGAAATATAAAAAAAAAATTTATTTGTTGGTTAAAAAAACTTGAAAATTTAATAGAAGGCTCCTAGTATATTGTTTCAAAAGCAGATGAAAAATATTAAAAATCGTTAGTCACAGTTTTTTTTATAAGCATTTAAAGTTCAAAAATTGACAAAATATGGAAAAATCACGAAAATTAGCAAATTATTTTGAGTAAAGAATTCGTAAAAATTTTTTTTTTTAAATCTAAGATTTGAAAATGTAATATAAGATTACTCATAAGTTTGTCTACCTTTATCAATAAAAAAATCTCTACCGGACAGTCAAATTTAATTTTTATGAGCGTTTGAAATTCAAATTTTTACAACATTGGATATTCACTTGATTTCTCATGTAGCGATTTTCTTATTTTGTTGCAATTCAAAAACGAACAACTGTAGATACATGAAAATTTTACTGAATGTTTAAATTAGCATTTTCTATACACCATAAATTTTTTAAAATATTTTGACTCTTTTTGAGCTGTTTACGGACATTTTCAGTTTTCAATTTTTTTAGTTTTTTTTTCTATAAATATCAATTAAGTTTTATCTGTTGGGCCAAAAAGTGTAAAAATGTAATACAAGGCTCCTGATATATTGTTACAATATCAGTTGAAAAATATTAAAAATACATAGGCACAATTTTTTTTTATAAGCATTTAAACATCGAATTTTGACAGAATTTTTCAAAATTCGAAAATTATTAATCATCGTAATTAATAAATTATAAAATGTTCAGTTTTTATAGCTAAGGATTGAAAATTTAAAACAAGATTCCACATAAGTAGTTAATTCTCTTACCGAAAAACCTAAAAAAATATACAATCACAGTTTATTTTTATAGTAATTTTATGTTCAAATTTGGCCGAAATTACATATTAAAAAACCTAGTTATTTTGTTGTGATTATATAATATTATTCGTGGGTACCTACTTGAAACTTCTAAAGTGTACTATTATATATCTATGATAGTATCAGGGTTTGTTATTGATGTTGATGTATAACGTGTTATAAGTACCTAATGGATATTGTGATAATGTGATATGATTAATTTGGAATTTATTATAGGTCAATTTTTTTTTTAATACCATAGATATGTATATAATTTGCCTTAAACCTAGACTGACATACCGTCTTCGCTCAGAATCGTTTTTCTTATACAATGATATTGTATCATTGAATTCAAATTTAATAGCATCCATTATACAGTGACCCACTTGTAACCTACTGTACAGCAGAGCGACATCCACTTGCCCACCTTTTTTTTGTTTCTAATATTATTATACATTTTAATTACACTCGATATAGGTACACGCCGTTACTTTACTCGCAAGTTAATAAGTTCGGAGTTAAATTAATTTTTGTTTATTGACATATAGTCCATATAGATATAACGCATTAATATATTTTTTATAAAGAATAAAAAACCTACATAAAAACTTGAAAGTATAATCAAACTAAAACTTCTGTCAAATTGTGATCAAAGCTTGTCAAATTAATTTAATTATAGTTTCATGTACTTCTCACTATAATATAATACATTAAAAAATAAAAATCAATAAATAGTTACCTATAAATTAATCATTATTTATAATTTAATATACGTTTAAAATTGAAACACTATGCCTGATCTTCTTGATACATCTGGCGCAATGCACATCATGTATGCTTACACCAAATGCCCAATTAATAAACAAAATTTCTGTTTCAGCTCAAAGTGTCCGGAATGGACTTGGACATGATAAGTTCTACAGTGGATTCCGCTAACACTGAAGACTGCGTAGTTGCTCGGGGAGACGCCTGTTCTTATAACCACTGCAAGAATTACGCGAACTGCCACACCGTGTCCAAACACTACGAATACGTATGCTAATGTGAAAACGGATTCAGGTAAACCGATTTCGATCGAATTTAATAATATTATGATTATGATTTTTTACTGGTCGTGTATAATACTGAAATTTGTCGTGTTTTTATATATAGTGGTCCGAAGTGTGACGTCGAAGCGAAGTTGTGTTCGACGCTGAAACCTTGTCTCAACGACGGCATCTGCACAGACATCGATTCGAGCTCGTACAGGTGCGATTGCCCTCTCGGACATTCGGGACCGACGTGCAACGAAAGTGCGTATTGATGGTGGTAGACAATTTTTAATTTTTGTATTTTTAACGCGGAATTTTTTCGCAGAGGTGGTGTTGGACATCACAGCCAATTTTAGCGGCAACAGTTATCTGCAATTGGAAAACAGTCTACTGGACCGGAACAAGAGGGAACATTCCATATCGATGACGTTCACCACAGATTCAGCCAACGGTCTGTTGTACTGGCAAGGCCAAGAACCTAACAACGATGGAGTGGTCGACAATTACATCGCCATCTCGAGTGAGCCAATAACCGTCAATTATATTAATAATAAATCGTTGCAAATTCAGTTTAATATTTGAATTTTTTTTTTATATAATTAATATTAATTTCCGTTTAAATAAATCGTGTCTCGTTTTGCAGTCGTCAACGGCTACGTGGAACTGAGTCACAGGTTCCAAGGCAGATCGACACCAGCAATCCGAGCCACGGACCATCACGTCAACAACAACGAACCCCACGTGATATTGATCCGCGGGAACGGGGCCGAATGGTCTCTGGAACTGGACAGGTCGACCATAGAATACGGTAAAGAACGCGACGTGGACATCCAACAGCTCTTGGAATCCACCGATTTGATATATATAGGTAAGTCAAAACAGCGCTTATTTATTACCTATAGGTACCCTAGTCAGAGGTAGGGAGCCTAGGGAGTCGTGACGACCCCTCACTCATCGAAACACATTTTTATCAGTTCTTTAAATTTAAATTTTAATTATTATACTTATATTTCTAATGTCAATGCATTAGAATTAATAATTATGTATTCAAATCAATTAAGTTGTAGATTTATGTTATGGCAACTACTAACTATTATTAGTTGTTATCAAGCAATGAAATTAATGTTAGGTTTTATTTTGCATGGATTAGCACTGAACAGTAGTAAAAACAACTATATATATCAAGTGTGTAGGGAAGTTTTTTTATTGGATTAGCGTTTTTTAAGTTTAAATCATAGATGTCAATAATCAAGAACTTAACATAGGTACTTGACGCCGGTCCTTACTCCTTAGTGGTTTTAGTAAAAAAAAAGTAAAACCTGTCCGTGGGTTTTTGAGTTTTGAAAAAAGCGAATTCTTTTACACAGGTGGAGTACCGGAAGTCATATTGACGACGAACGACAACCATTACAAAGGGTATGAGGGTTGTATCGGTGACGTGCGTGTCCAGGACTCAGGATACGTGAATCTGGGCCAAAAGTCGTTGTCCGGCAAAAACGTTGCTTCGTGTAACAGGTAATTACGTTATACCATGGACGATATTATTTTATGTGCATTAATATAATATAAAATATTATTCGCAGGGCTGTGAAAGCGCTGTAAAAAACTTATTAAAGAACTTAATTCCTTCTACAAAAGCTCAATAAGACAATTTAAAAAACACTCAAACTCATTATTTGTTCACAGCCCTGATTGTGTTTTTGTTTGCTCAAGCTAATAAGTTATTTATTTTATCTTTGTCTTTCCGACACGCTGCTTTTCCGCGACTCGTGACGGGTAAATAACACTACAATAACACTAATCGATCGTTTTCGTTTACGACTCAGCTATTATTATAAAAAGATTAAAGAACGACTTGAGGCGTATACCGTCTTCGTTGATATTCACACAAACCACTAACGACCAAGTGGTGTTTCAGGTGGACCCGCGGTGGCCCACGGACCCCGCGTGGCCGGACCTCAACGAAACCGGAAACGTTGTGTCCGACACCGCAATAACTAATACTTTTGTACACACAATAACTTTAGCATAAGGCTTTTGTTAACTACGTTGTTTTTGATATTATTGTTGACTAATTTATAACGTTCCGTGGGAAAATATTACCATTTTACCAATATGTTATTATCCTATGTATGTATATATATATATATATTATCTATATATATAAAAATGAATGTATGTCTGTGTGTCTGTGTGTCCATGTTACCATGGTTACCAAGGTTGCCATGGTTACTAAGGTTACCAAGATTTCATATCAATCTATATATATAAAAATGAATGTATGTCAGTGTGTGTGTGTGTGTGTCCATATTACCATGGCAACCATATCTGTATATAAAAAACAGTAAGCTGATTGACTGCTATCAACGCACAGCTCAAACCATTGGACGGATCTGGCTGAAATTTGGCATACAGATAGCTATTATAATATAGACGTGCGCTAAGAAAGGATTTGCCAAAATTCGCATTTTAAATAGGTGCTGAAACAGAGACATTGAGATTCACGATAGAAATTGGAAATTTTATTTTTATTTATTTATAGTTGCCATTGGTTACAGTCTACATTAGAAATTAGCATTTATTTATTGGTTGCCATTGGTTATTCGGGCAGATCAGGTACAAGCTTGCATCAAATCGAATTATTGAACAATGCTTACCAGGGTGGCAGAGTTGCACTTACCGCAGAAAATTACACCCAAAAGGAGTTCAACAATCATAATTTTTTTAAGAGTTGCGATTTTTTACGAGCAACCAAATTTATTATATTAATCCACAGTATTACATCAAAATAAACTTGGTATAACTTTGATACTTTAGAGTTAAATCATACACTTCCGTACAAACAGCACGGGGTCCGCGATCTACCGCAGGTAGATTGCCTACCTGATAATGTACTGCTGCGATTCAGAATTTTTATTCAGGGCAACGGGAAAGATAAGATAAATTTTGAACACCATACACGTTAATGAATTGAACAAAGTTTGAGTAGGTAGTATTGAGTTGATCCATTTAACGGGCGACGAAGTGCACGGGATCAGCTAGTATATATATATAAATTAATATATTATATACCACACTGGTTGTGATTTTATGTTATGTACCATAATAGAGTATATTATGTATATTGTATATAATATATACTTATTTATAATAAGTGCTATTACGATAAGTATTTATTATAAGTATTATATTATTATGAAAATATGTATTTTGTTTGATGCGTATACAGTCGACGGCTGCAAAAAATGTTAAAATAATTATTCGCAAATCGTTTCGTTTTACACCGTCCGAATGAAAAACATAGTTATTAGGTATGTATCACCCAATATCCTTATTCGTTGCACATCTTAAAAATGCATTAAAAAAATAATTAACACGTAAAGACTTAGGCATAGGAAATTTTATTACGTTTAACTTTTATATTTTTTTACGTTTATTACTTAAGATGTCACTAAGGCATTTTAAAAGAAAAAGTCAAATTTAAGTCAATTTTACGCCAAAAACATATCTATATTTTATATTATAATTTAACGGAAACATGCGCTTTTGAATGAGGGATACATATTCCCCTTTATAATATTGCCCAAACGTATATGTAACGTGCACAACAGGGCACGGTATATTCGAAAACCTACACACATTATATATAAATATTTATATATAGGTACCTACGATCTACCACGGCTTCTGTAAGTCTGTATAAAAATATACTTTTAAAAAAAAACGCAGTAAAGTTAAGTAAAGTAAGTTTTCGCACATAATATTAACAATTAGTAACAACTTGTCGCATTGGTGCAATTATATAGGGTGATGCTATAATGAATTATATTGTATTCGACGTCCGTGCTCTTGCCTCTTATTAGTATCAATGTTTTATTAATTATGATTTAAAAATAGTATCTAAAAGTAGGTACTATATGAAAACAAATAAAGGTAATAATAAACGAAACAATTGTTTTTTCACGAGGAGGAAATATAAATATGCTGATCGATTTTTGTTGTTATTCTTGTTGGAGTCAGTGGCGTATTTAGGGAGGGGGTGACCGGGGTTAATTGCCCCCGGGTGCCAAATTCTGAGTCCTCAAAGGGGCGCCGTCGCTAGAGGTTATAACAAAAATATTTTTTTATTTTATTGGATTTGTTACGAAATTATATTGGTGATAGCTGATAAGTGAATCCCTGTATCTTTCTTATAATATCTTTTACATTTCTATACATATTTCTATATCAATAAAATTGAATCGCTGGATCGAGCGTCCGATCGCCTGTTGTGTAAAGTAAACTTTCAAAAATGTCAAGATACAAAGATTTTCAAAAAAAATCCCGTTTTTTAAATTATATTTTTGGTTTTTAGTTATAATACAGGTATCCATTTTTTTTCGAGTCGGTATTGAATTTAATGATTAATGCCGGTTTCCAATGTTTTTCCGGTTTTGGTTTTGATTTTGTTCTCGGTTTCGGTTTTATAACGGTTTATACCGGTTTCAAGCCCTGCACTATTAACTGAGATAAAAAGTAAATTGTAAATTAGAGGGGGCTTAAAAGTTTTTTGTGACAATGAATAAAAGGACACTGTGAAAAGAAAGGGGCGCCAAAATCGTAAATACGCCACTGGTTGGAGTAAGTAATTCTCTCGTGTTTGAAAACAGGGGACAGTGAAAGAAAATTATGTTTAATTTGAATTCGGTTTTATAAAAAATGTCTTTATATTATATTGTATTTAAAAATACGGATACATTAAAATAATTAAGAAGCACCTAATTATAGACAAAATAATAACACTTATTTTGTTAGTAATATTTATTTTAATGATTAAAGTAAACATAGCACAATTTTATTTTTTTTTTTAATTTATTTGAATATATACAATCTGTAATAATAGTTACAATGAGCATATGAACTGGATTACAATTGGCTTTGAAAGCATGAGGAGAGTAGTTACCCAGCAGTAACACTCGACGATAGCACAAAATAATTTTAAAAATCATTGCCCATATGCGATTAAAAATTAAATATGATCTATACCTGAAAAACTGGTATCTTTAATAGTTTAAGAATTTTAGCATCGCCTTCACCTCTAATTGTGCCAATGCTCAAATTTAAACAAAAATAAATTTGACCGTGTAAAATTTCGTATTTTTATTACGATCGAAGATTTAACTAATGTTTTCGTTTTAGCCAAAACCTGTGAAACCTGTAACGTCATAATATTATTGTGCATAATCGATACGTATATATTCGCGATAAACTATTTCAATTTACAGGGTAGTGTCCCCAATTTTTTATTTTTTTGGGCATTCTGATTTTATAGAAATCCAAAATGTATCTCATTACTTGTAATTTAATTAAACATTTTCATCGAAAGATAACTCGATTATTTAGTTTTTCTTCCATAATTAAACTTAATTCAGAATCCATTTAATTTATATGAATAGAAAATGTATTTCTTATCCATCCTAACTTTTTTTCTGAAAACCGTGTTAAAATTGTTTTTCAAATTTTTGATATGAAGTAATATTATTTTCTTTATTTTTTTAATATCAAATATTTCATTGCTACTCATAAATTCTGAAAAACATGAAAACCAACATTGGATTACCACTTACCTTCAGTATGAAGTGGTATTTTTGTATGATCAGATACCATTTCATTCCCACTTTATTTTATTAAAAAAATCATTTTTAAAAATCATTTCGTCTATTATTTTTGCGACTCCCAAACCTATCATTCTCGACCCCCAAGTTGAAAACCACTGGTCTTGTCTATAGTTTGTACACCTAGCGTCACGGACGTCGTTATAGGATAAAAAATAGCTGGCACGTCGAATTTACTATAGGTAGGTATTGTTAATAACAATGCACTAAGTAACACTGTTATAAATATGCATGGCGCATGCACGTGTACATTAAAAATAACCAAAATATGCAAAAATGTTTTAAACGAGTCTTGTCAAGGTTTGGTACATTAATTAACTGCCTTATTTTTTTTTTTATTAAATTATATTATTTATAATACTGACCTATTTCCTGCGTTTAAACAAAAATAACATAAGTATAGGAGAGATACTCGGTAGGTACCTAAAACACTTGAAATTTTTTCTTCGTAATTTATTTTATTCATTGACAAGCGTCATGGTCAACTTTAACAAAAACAAAAACACATTACTTATATTTATATTTTATTAAAAATAAGAATAATACTATGCAATAAATAGGTTTCTTATATCCACTATAGTTAAACCAAATATTTTAAGTGACATTCTAATTTCTTCTATAAAGTAACAACACAAAACAAAAAAACGTTAAAATTCACAGCTTTGTTGATTTTATATTATATTATAATTAGGTTAGATAGGTCAAATTTGTAAACTTTAAAATCGTACGACTCAAAATTAACAAGCTGAGCCGCTATATTTAATGTTCTAACTCGTTGCGATAATATTATATTGTGTTAAGGGAAAATTATATTATAATGTTAATTAGATAATTATGTTCAATTTTTGTCACGACTTGCATGGCACTCGAGATCGTTTGTGTGTTTGACGTATATTATAATAATATACATTTAGTAATTAAATTTGTTTAAAGCAATAAATGTCTTTTATCGGTTAATATTTTTATATTTTTACATATACCCACCTATACGTCTATAGTTAGTAATCGGTTTTCTGTTTACTGCCATTAATGCTGGGTTGCATGAATAATCGATAAATATTTAACGAATCAATAGTGAGCTAATGGTCCCTCCACACATGATTTAGTTGATTGGTCCTTTAAATTGTATTATTGAACCATTAAATTAACACATTTTTCATGCAACCCCCGACATGAGTGTTGTAATAATTGTAATTCTGCGAGGTAATCTCCGAGAACAACTTGGATTCTTCTGCTTTAGTTATGGTCGATTAGATATATTTTAAAATTTTTTTTTTTTTTAAGTGATCCTATCAGGACTCGCAGACACTCTTGTGCTTGACACTTGTTAAGAAAATAGTAAATACAATATATTTTATACAAATATGATTTCAGAATAATTCATTTTATGATGATAGTTATTAGTTTCAATAATTATATATACTTAATAGTATAGTGAATCGTAGGGTTTTTGTTGATTTTTAAATTTTAAAGTGAATTATATTAACTATGAAAAATATTAAATAATATTAATTTTAAAATGCTCATGCCTCTTTAAAAAGTAAATCAATTAATAGTCTACAAGATGCATTAGAGAATATTTTTACTTTTAAATTTAATGATTTCTTCAATTCATCCTTATGCATTAAAATTAATGACACAAAATAGATTCTGCCTGAACACAAATTTTCCATATGCTTGTAAGACAGACACAATACCTATACGTGTGACACGATATACGTGTGATCCAAAAGGATACCAAGGTGACGCGGACACGATGATTGCTTCAAGGTTGATCGTGGTCCGGTCGAAGTATTTGGTTAGGATTGAGGTGATGAAAAAAACACAACACAAACACATTAAGAATGTCACAAATTATGTATTATAATATTGCGACCAAAATATAATAATACATGACGTGCCGCTCAGGCAGATGAGTTTAACGTCGGACGATATGTTATCGGTCCGACGGTCCGATGGTGGATCTCGAATCGACTTTTCCGCCGACCGTTGTACGTCTTACGCGACACAGTCCCCCCGTCCCGCCTTGCCGTTACCGGCTCGGCGGGAGAGTCAACCCGGTCGCGCTGCTTGCATCCCGTGGTGGTGGTTGGAGATAAGATAGACTGGTCGCTATAGTGCTTGTACATTGTACTTGCTACTAACGCGGGCCGCGTCAAAGGATTATGGATTAAGGATAATGCTATATTGTATTATTCTATACAATATAGCATTATCTCAATCCAATAACACGTCCGATTCACAGTATCCTCTTTCAATATTATTTACCTTCATTGTACGGGACAATTACATCACTATCCATGCCACAAAGCAGTGCCGGATTTAGAACAGGTGCCGCCCTAGGCCCTTTTAAATAAGCCGCCCCTACCCTAAGAAAAAAAATGTAGAATTTATTATTAATACATTTATTTCATTATAAACAAATTAGGTCAGTAGTAATTATAAACAAAACAAGTAATTATAAATTCTAATAAACAATAATACATATTTTTTTCTTACTCCCTTACAAAATTTGCGGCCCCCAAAAATTTGCTGACTTAGGCATAAATCCGGCCCTGCACGTACGTGTCAATCATTAATTAACAACATATCTTTTTGAAAAAGCTATTCGTACCTAATGATAATATATAAAATAATACATAATTTGTTTTGTTTAAAACTGCTTCTGCTTATGTCGACGGCGGGCCAATCACAATGGAGTGGTAAAAACACGACTAACGAAAAACACAACAACCAAGACGTATTCTGATTTTTTGCCTTTTGTTTTATTGTTTTCAGACACGACGTCAACAATATCATTCAAAGAAACGATTAATATGATCGCCGAACAAAACGCACTGCAGTCCATTGACCGCGGGCGACGCTCAAGACAACAATAATAATATTATATAATTCCGTAAAACAAAAAAACGTTGTTTTTAATTTTTATTATCTAGTTTAAATCTATTTTATAATCAAATCGCATAGGCGCAAATAGGGGGGGGCTTAGGGGGTATTAGCACCCCCAATTTTAAAATTAGCACCATCTAATAAATATGTGTTTATGTATCAAAACTTCTCTTTACAAAAAAAAAACCAAAAACAGTTTATCATCAGACATGAGGGTATCAGAGTATAATGAATGAAACAATGAACTCGACAATTGTAATTTTATCGAATTAAAATCTATTTAGAATATAAATCATTATTTTCCAATGTTTCTACTAAGCCCGGTCGTTGTCATCGGTTATATTATTATCAGTGTTATCACGTTCAGCAGCGACTCAGCTCTACGACAATTTAATATTTATAGTATCGCGAGTATTTAGTATTTACTAATAGAAACATTCCCGTGCCCACATCTAATTCGGACAAAAACATAATATTACGATATACGAATTACTTGTCAGTTGGTGTTCACTGGAGTTCCAAGTTTCCGACAGCCTGTGTGATTGTGTATGCCGAATTATATAATATAGTAGGTACAGATATAACTGACTTTTGGAATAACTTTTGTTCTAATCAATATTTATAATGTTTTTTTTATAATTTTAAAAATTTTTGTCACACATTTAAGTAGCTTCATTTTTTTTTTTTTTTTGTCAAGTCTGTCTGTTACACCCCTTGTACACTAATATTTATTTGTCATATTTTTTGAATAAAATATAAATAATTTGTTTTAAATTTTTAATAAATTAAAATTTACTATTGTATTAATTTCTATAAAATGTACCTAATGCACTATAACTATTCAATGTTAAATTATCATAAAACCTTTTTTTCTCAAAAAAGTCATAAGTGCCTCATAGGTATAATTTAATTTAAATACCCAGGAAATGCAGAGCTTAAGCACCCTCGGTTTTTATGTTGAAATTGCGCCTATGTCAAATCGGTTTTAACGACGACTACTTTTGTAATTTTTAAACTCATTAGCGTTTATAGTCTGCAAAAAGAATCATAATATTATGTAATAATAATTTTGTCATGCAGTTATAATATATAATAACACACCGGCCTGTTGTCATACGTAATATTATGTATATCGCAACTCTGCAGCGTAGTTATATGTAATTTTTCATATTTTTGTATTCATTTTTACTGTTTCTGTGCGTCGCCAAAAGCCACCAAACGAAATCGTTATTATTCGTAGCCTATATATACATATTATTATTATATAAAAAATAAATAGTCTCGTAATTCAAACATTCGATCAATCATCACATGACGTGTTCTCGAACCAGGGGCGGATCTGAAGCTTGGTTAAAGGGGGGGCGAATTTCGAATAGGAATATCCATGAGTAATATACAAGTACGATGAGTATGGTCAAACCTGGTGGGTGGAGGGGGTCACCACCCCCAGAAATCCGTATATCAATCCGGATCAAATTGTATAATCCGTATACTATAAAATTATCAGTATACATTTTTTCAACCCCTCCCCCTACCAAGAAAAAGCATTTCCTGCTGTTGCCCCGGCAATGAAGACTTGACCGTAGTTCAAGTAATTTATGGAAAAAGAAGTACAACACTTAAAATTAATTGTAGGTACCTTTATTTGTTTTAAATAGCTATAACAATATATTGTTCAAAAATAGGTATAATTATAATCACCAAACAGTACCAAATAGGATTTACTAATTACAAATATTTAATATTATAATCATAAAAGTGAGAAAAATAATCACACTATCACAGATAATTGTCATTGTCTGATAACGTTGTTATCATTGTTATCATGAAACATAAAGAGAAAAAAAAATAATAATTAATAATTATTAATTTATAAAAATGTATTGTGTAATGTGTAAATCTATAAATCGAAAATATTAAATAAATCTGTAATAAAAAAAAAAAGCCCAAGGGGGGGGTGATCGCCACGTCGCCCCCCCCCATAGATCCGCCACTGTCTCGAACAACGACTCACTCGAGGCTCGCTAGTCGCTGTTTTCGTTCTCGTACAATGAATGAATTCCGCGGCGGACAGAACGAATTAATCTCCTCCCTCTCGGCCTCACCGCGTAGACTAATTTTTATTATTATTGTATTATTAAATTTAACACTATTATATTTATACATTGACTATTAATAAATCGTATATCATATCGTGCCATACATTTGCTATATTATTTCCATCTACCTATACATAACTATACAACTTAAGGAGGGTATCTCATCATACTTAAAACTTCAAAATGTTTAAAATACTAGTAAGTACAATTTTTTTATTGATATCGAGTTAAAATTTTACAATTGAATTATAATTAAACAAAAAACTAAAATTGTATTATTAATTTATCATAGGTAGTTTAAAATCATAAGGACTTGAAACTTTATGAGATTATGCGATTATGCCAAACTATATGTGCTGCTGAAATATTGTAGATTTATATAAACTAAATACATATAAGAATCGCTGCTTCTCAGAAACCTTATCGATCTAACAGTAAGCATTGATACAACCAATTTATATTGAAGTTTATTATTATTATATTATAATCAGTGCCGAAACAACCGCAGGGGCAGCCGGGACAATGCCCCTTAGAGGGCCGCTAATCGTTTACTCAGGGGGGCCCGACAGCGCTTCGCATCTATTTTAAATTTTTAGGTTCACAACCATCCCCCTCACCATGAACACTTTACAAACCTAATATTTGTACTTACAATATAATTATAAATTATAATAATTTATTGGTAATAAATCTAATTTATCACCCACCCAAATTTTTTTTTGTCGGTAAGTAACCTAGCTATGCGTATATTACAAGTTACAACGAATTAAGAACGATTTTGTGGAAATCATTAGTTTATAATTGAAAACGACGGGGAAATCTGAATTTGGCAGTCAGACTTAGTTTAAAGTTTTATAGCTAATTGAAATTTTTGGTATTTTCAAATATACCCTGCGTATATTATTCACTCGTACGCTGCGCTCGCACAGACAAATAAAATCAAAAACATCCCTCGACTTGTTATGTAAAAACACCATGGGTGGATGTAAGAATTATTTTTGCACCATAATTTTTAAAGGTTAGATTTACCTAGGTTAAAAAAACAATTTTAATTTGTTATACTTAAGCTCAGTACGCTTTAAGCGTTGTATGGGCGCGTAAAACACTGAAAATCGTGAACTTCATAAGGCTATACCATAAAAACTAATTATTTCCGGCAATTCATTTTTGCATCATATAACTCTTAACTAGTTGCAACACAAAATACATTTTATGATTAATTCGTTGTGGTAAAAAAATCATTTATTAATTTTGTCTGTATTTAAGTTTAAATTTATACTGGTACAACTCTATCTGGCAGTCTTTTAGACCGCGTTAAAGACTATGATAATTAGTTAACGTCTAAATTTCTGTCCTATCCTAACCTAACCTAACTTAACCATTATTTAAATATCTTCTTTCATTGTTATGTTTACAATATCGAATACCTTGATAGTTAGTAGGAAAAGATCATTGCAAAGCCTAAGAAACCATTGGATCCACTATAGTAACCTAACCCATGGTAGTTTTACATGACAAGTGGATGGATGTTTTAGATTATAATTGTCTGAGCGATGGAGTGTTGTCCGACGATTTAATTTATTGGTTAAAACCGGTTTCTTTTTAGGCGTAAATGACGTAATCACTGGAAGTAAAAAGAGTGTTTCAATTTGCCGTTCTTCGTGGTAATTCACTTTGATCGGGACCAAGAAGATAATGTGAAAATTCATAGACGCGCCAGCAAAATCTGACTTTGTTAGTATTTAGGTTTTAGAACTAAAATTTACTTTTGAAATTAAATATACTAATAAATTGTGCACTACAACATTTTTAGAAAAATTAAATATTAAGTATGAAGTATGAAATATTATTTTATCGATCTTTAATGACTATGTAATGATTTTACAGCTAACAACAACTTCTTAGGTCTCGCAAACTTAACCTCACTCCGATAATTGGTCGCTCATCTGTAGTGGATAAGCCGAAATCTACCCCACCTCGCTGTCTGCAGATCAAGACCTATAAATTTGTCAATTCGAAAGAGGTGTTTACTAAATATTATTTGCTATATAAAATAACACGGTCTACATTTTATACTGGCAACTATAGATGCCTGTAAACAAAATAAAGACTTTTTTTCCATTTTAAATCGACGACACGACTCCGTGGGATCCCCTTATTCATTAATTCCGCGGTTTTAGCTATAACTAAAACGGATTCCTAGAATTTCACACACCTCCTAAACCACGTATAGGGTTAAATAATATTTCAAATTAATAAAGATATGAATATCGGATATCAACTCGTTCCAAGTATTTGACACCCTCACAACAAATGAACTCTGTTGTAGCTGAATTGCCTATACAATGCGCCGTGTTAGCATAATTTTGTATTGCGTTTTTTTTAAATATATTAAAACTATATTATTATAATATTATAATTTATGATTTCCAGGAAAAATGATCAAAATAGCAAAAATAAAGAACAGTAACGTCTTCACCGTGCTGAGTGTGCTGAGTCTAAATCAGGTAAACGAATTTTAAATAACAAAAAAAAAGAATTTAGAAAAAAGAATACCGTAGGAACACACATTAAAGAGTTCCAACTAAAATGTCCAGAACCTTAAACAGAAAAAACATATTCAAAATAATAAGTTAATTAAAGAGAGTATATTCATAGGGCAACTGCAGGTCCTAAAAAAAAAAAATTGAAGGGGAGTGTTGGCGCAGGCAGGCAAATGCATTTTAGAAAAACAAAAAAAAAAAGTTGGGTAAGTGGGTGTCGCTTTGCTGTACAGTAGGTTACAAGTGGGTCACTGTATAATGGATGATATTAAATTTGAATTCAACGATATAATATCATTGTATAAGAAAAACGATTCTGAGCGGAGACGGTATGTCAGTCTAGGTATACGACATATTATATACATATCTATGGTACTAAACTAAAATTTGACCTATAATAGGTACCTATAATAAATTCCAAATTAATCATATCACAATATCCATTAGGTACTTATAACGCGTTATACATAAAAAAAAAAGTGATACTATCATAGATATATAATAGTACACTTTAGAAGTTTCAAGTACCCACGAATAATATTATTCAATCACAACAAAATAACTAAAATAGTTATTCTAGGTTTTTTTTATGTAATTTAGTCCAAATTTGAATTTAAAATGTCTGTAAAAAATAACTGTGTTCATATATTTTTTAGATTTTTTGGTTACAGTATGAACTATTTATGAGAACCTTTGTTTTAAATTTGCAATCCTTAGCTATAAAAACTGAACATTTTATAATTTATTAATTACAATGATTGATAATTTTCGAGATTTTGAAAAATTCTGTCAAAATTCGATGTTTAAATGCTTATAAAAAAAATTGTGCCTATGTATTTTCAATATTTTTCAACTGATATTATAACAATTTATCAGGAGCCTTGTATTAAATTTTTACACTTTTTGGCCCAACAGATAAAACTTAATTGATATTTATAGAAAAAAAAACTAAAAAAATTGAAAACTGAAAATGTCCGTAAACAGCTCAAAAAGAGTCAAAATATTTTCAAAATCGTATGGTGTATAGAAAATGCTAATTTAAACATTCAGTGAAATTTTCATGTATCTACAGTTGTTCGTTTTTGAATTACAACAAAATAAGGAAATCGCTACATGAGAAATCGAGTGAATATCCAATGTTGTAAACATTTGAATTTCAAACGCTCATAAAAATTTAATTTGACTGTCCGGTAGAGATTTTTTTATTGATAAAGGTAGACAAACTTATGAGTAATCTTATATTACATTTTCAAATCTTAAATTTAAAAAAAAAATTTTTACGAATTCTTTACTCAAAATAATTTGCTAATTTTCGTGATTTTTCCATATTTTGTCAATTTTTGAACTTTAAATGCTTATAAAAAAAAACTGTGACTAACGATTTTTAATATTTTTCATCTGCCTTTGAAACAATATACTAGGAGCCTTCTATTAAATTTTCAAGTTTTTTTAACCAACAAATAAAATTTTTTTGATATTTCTAGAAAAAAAACTAAAAAAAAAATGAAAAATGAAAATGTCCATAAACAGTTCAAAATAAATCAAAATATTTTGAAAATGTTATCGTGTATAGAAAATGCAAAAATAAACAATCAGTGAAAATTTCATGTATCTACGGTCTTTTGTTTTAAAGTTACACCAAAAACCAAATTCAATTTTCTGAAAAATCGATTTTGCGTAAAAATTCCCGTTTTTCCTTAATTTTTCTTTTGTTTTTCTTGGCGCTTTTGAAAAGTACTGGGAATTTTAAATTTTGACCTCCCCAATGCACCAACGATATTCACTTTCCAATCGAGCAAGATACATCGAAGCATTATTTCGACTACTTATCGTGTACACAGATACAAAAAAAAAAAAAACACTCATCATTGTAAAATCAATACATTCATCATTTCACTCAGAATCTAAAAAACACATACGAGTTACGATGTAATAATTATATTATATTATATTTTTTTCTGGGGGGGGTCCAGACCCGGGGACCCCCCCGTAAATACGCCACTGCATCTTGTATATCCTTGCCCACCAATCAATGAATTTGATGTAGAAGCTTCCCTTAAAGAAATTTAAAGCATTATTTGTAGAGTACAATTTGTGCAACCATAAATTATTAACAAATTTGATAATTTAACTTTAAATTAATTTAAGTATATATTTTCAATGTTAATTTTTATTTCAGGAAATATATTTTGTAAGAGGTACAACTGATACTTCACCGAAAGGGAAACTATACGCTAAGTATTTCAACTCACTACGGACATTAAAAAAAGGTGGATTACTTCAAAAATCCAAAAATAATGATAATACTAAAATTTTGACAAATAGTGAACAAGAATCAAATTTTGGTAAAAACATTGATTCACTTTTATGTACTGAAAATAAATAAAATAAAATTGCTATTGAATTAGTTTTTCATTATTTTATTTTACAGAAAGTGAAACCGATATAGATGATCATCTGTCTTCAATAAGACACAACACATGCACTTGGCCTGATTTGGAAATACATTGGCAAGCTACAGTAAAATATAGATTAAACCATATTAAGACATGTGAAAATACAAAATCAATCATGGATACTTGGCCAAATTATAAATTTCCACTTGGTTACAAACTGGTACATAATATTCATTTATTAAAAATTATTTATTTATAGTTTTATATTTAGGCATATTGTGTATTTTTGTTTTTAGATTGATATAGATTTCAAGTTTAAGTTCTCTCAATGTGAAAACATGTTGACAAACTATGATAAAATATATGATAAATTATTAAGCTTAGTCAAGGTAAAAGTTAAGGACCCGGCTGCACAAAAATTATTAACCGAAATGGAAAATACTAATATTGATGATAGTGAGTATATGAACCAGATAAAATGTAATGTATCTTAAAATAATGCCAAACAATATGTTAATATGTTTTATGTTAATGTAGTGAATTTTTTAATAATTGTTTAATATACTTTATAATGGGATGAACATAATACAATAACATATTTTATGTTAATTACCAATAACAATCTGTTGGAAATAAAAATTAACCTTCTTTTACAAGTTTACAATGCTAAAATTGTGTTATGGCTTATGGTCAATGCTTCCAAACTTAAGTATACCTATTTTGGTTTTTCACGGGCCTTTTTATCAAAAAATTAGTACCTATTCTTAATAATATTAATAATTTTGAAAATATTTTTATACATCATTGTAAGTAGGTAGGTAATAGAAAAATAAAATTTTTTTTTATCATTTTGCAAGTTATTACTTTTTGTTATGAAATTTAGCAACATCAATTTTTAATTTCCTATTCTTTTTTTGCAGATGGGCGTAATGCTTGTATTTTCTATCTTATTCATTCAGTTCTGGTTCCAACATCCAAAATAATGAAGAAAGATAATAATAAACGGTCACTCATAAAATATTCTATCAAGGATTCTCAAACATCTTTTATAATTTTTGCTTATACCGTTGAAGAAATTGAAAAAACAATCAGTGCGTTGAGAGAAAAAGGAGATCCGATACAGCCATTTGTTATGGTAGTGGGTACTATTCTTAAACCTAAAGAAATTTTAGTTTTTTTTGACTATGCTAAATTTAAAGTTTACTCAGTTGTTAGAGCAGTTGATATTTGTTTTAAAATCATTCACTTATTTCATTTAAAATATCCATTACAGTGTACTATGGTATGGCATTTTTTGCAAAAAATGTTGTATAAGTTGGAAACCCCTTATGATACTGTGTTCCCTCAAGTTTCTAAATTAATATGTGAGTTAATTAATTAGTTTAGTTAGCAATTAAAAACTGTATATTTTAAATAATATTCTGCATCAACATTTTTTCTATATCTATTATGATATAATTATAACAAAACATTTTACAAGTTTTCTTTGTATAATTTTAAACATTTTTTTTTTTTAATTTTGTATTCTTCATTATAACCAATCCAAGTTGGAGTTTGTGAAACAGAACAATATTTATTTTTATGATTACTATTATGACTATTGTTATTAGAAAATATAAAGTTGTCACAATATAAGTTAATTATATTTATCATTGGTTTATCTCTATACCTAATCTAACCTTTTAACATCACAAAAAAAAAAAAATGGGAATAACATATTTTTTCATGATGTTCATGAATTTAATTAAGTTTAGTTTTGTTCAATTGTATTTTAATTGATTATTTGAATGAAATACTTGAAAAATATGCAAGGATTTATTGTAATTTAGGTATGGCCGCTGGTATGGGTGGAAGCAAGCACGTATCCAGGATCAATTTTCGGGGGGGGTTTAAAATATTTCAAAGACGTATGTAGTTAGTTTTTGTTACCTATATTATAAATATATACCTACTTTAAAAATTTTGGGGGGGTTTGAACCCCTAAACCCCCCCCCCCCTGTATACGGGCCTGGGTGGAAGGTTTCATGACTAAATAATATATATAAGAGGTGACTTACCTGTAATGTTTTTTTATAAACATAAAAAATAACCATACCAAAAAAATAAACATGTCAATTCAAAACATTTGTTTATTAATTTGACAATCTAATTTTTTTAATTGAAAAATAAATAGTTATTGTGTCAATATATGGTTTTATAAATTAAAAAATAAATTTATTTACTTAACAAACTATACTTTTTATGTTAATAAAGCTATTTATCAACTTATAAATTTGAGTTTAAACTTGACAAATAAATTGTGTATTTTCACAAATAAGTAGTTATTGAGTTAACTCCAAATATATCATTTTAATAGTTTTATTGTCAATTTGATAATACAATAGTTTGTTATTTGATGAAGTCAACATATAATTTTATAATTTTATAACTTGGATTCTACAATATTATTGTTATATATTCATTAACAATTTTGTTGGTTTCATTTTGACAATTATATTGTTGGAAGTATACTAACCACTATTTTGTTGAATCACCTATGATTTTTATCAATGTAACAGTGTTATTTTTTTCAGTGTATATACAAAAGTACTCTAAAAAAATAAAATATCGTCTTTTAGAATATGAAATTTAAAATGTATGTCGTCATTCAAAAAATTAAAAAACTTCAATTATTATAAGGATAAAAAACGTTAAAAACATAGTTTTTTTTTAAAGTATTGTTTTATAACGACTTGAAATTATGTAAGAAAAACATTTTCAAAAAAGTTAATAGGTACTTTTCGAAATAATGGTGTACCCACTTAAATGGATCACCCTGTATATAGACATAGCTTAACTTGTTGGAAATGATATAGGCAAGGTGGATATATATACAGTGTGTAAACGGTAATCGAGAACACTCAATATCTTTGCGTAGAGACCTGCTATTTGAATTCCGTTTTTTTGGCAGTTGTTATGACATAAAAATACACATTTTTATGGTCTTTGAATTTTTTTTACTTAACTAGTCACGCGCATGCGCATGTCAACTTTTTTTTTTAAATGGCAACCCCCTGCTTTAACCACTAATTATTTTTTACCTATTTTTTTAATGAATTTTGGTAGTTGAATCAACTTTCTAAGCCCAAAATTGACCAAGTTACAGCCAATCGAAAAAAAAAAAAATTAGAAAAAAAATGCGCTCAAATTTCAGCTTTTTGATTGTAACTCTGAAAATAATTATTTTAGGATTGTTAAACATTGACATTTTTGTAACTATTTATTACGTTGATATTCATACGTTATTTTAACTTCAATTACTGAATAATTTTCTCTTTAATTTGTGTAATAAATCATATAACTTATTATGGCAGAAAAAACGTAAATTAGTATGTTGTTTATTTCTTTGAATAACACCGTAATAAATAGTTACCAAAAAGTATAGGATTATAGGATGCGTGTTGTCTACTATCTAATCTTAAACCGGAACTGAAACAAATAACAACTAATTGGTCAGTTGGAAATTGGAATTACATCTTGATCGTGATTTCGAGGTATACTGTTCAAAACGCCGAAAGTTTATCCATCATGGCATACATTTTATATGCGTGTAATATAATACATTTATATATTTAGTAATATTTAATTTATTATAAAATAACAATTTTTAACATAATATACAATATTTATTTTATTTTTCATATAATAAAATTTATAAAATAATTTAATACTACCGGTATAATGCTACTGGGGATTTTTTTTCCAACTACCGTAGGGGACACTAGGGGTTATTCGTCATTCGCCATTCGTCATTCATGGCCCAAAATTGACCCAGAACTATTCACGAATGATTCGTGGTCTATCGCTCCGGAGGGCGGTAAAATCAAAAGATCAAAGAGCATGAATTTATGCGAATGAGTAAATTCATGAAAATTCGTGTGCATTCGTCATTCGTCATTCGTCTTTCGTCTGGTGTTCGTGAAAAGTTAGTTCTCAACTTATTTTGAAACTCAAGCCAAATATGCAAACTACCCATCCTCCAGTAAAAAACTCTCGATAATGGAAAGATAGTAAAAATTAGTCCTAGCAGATTATTTTAAAAATTTAAAAAATAAAAAATAAAAATATTTACCCTATTTACCTTAACCAGGACAGGTGGTGCCCTCATTCGTGGAAATCGGGGGGGGGGGGGGGGGTGAGGGGGCCACCTCCTTTTTTAGTCGTGTGGGATTGATGTTAATATGTTAGTCCCCGTCTGAAATTGTAATGGATTTTTGACTAAAGGTGCCCTTTGAAATTACTACCTACTCCTTGAAATAGTTGAGGTGCTGTTACCTCTTATGTCAGGTGTACACCTGACCTAACTGACCACCTTATATGCGGCTGTAAAACCGTATATGTTCCAGTCTTCCAGATTAAAAAATACCTACTATACTATACCTACTCAGACGAATAAAACACCCAACAAGCACCTTGTTTTATATTCAAAGGTAAAATATAAAATATTTAAATTACCTAATATTATAGTTAACTTTAACGACAAAAATATCCGCAATGTTGAGAGTACTGTAAATATGTAAACAATAAAATAAAAATTTTCATTTTATTATGTCTATTTATAGTTTTATCTTAGTGATTGTTGGTGTTATTAGTGATAACTGATAAGTGATAGCAACCGAAATCAAACAGTTATTTTGTTGTTGAACTTGAAAGTACTACCTACTTAGAAGTTAGCAGTTTAGCACTTACTTTTACATTTACTTCAACATTACTATTTACTTGTGAAACGGTAAGTACTATTGAAAAATATAATTGTACAAAATACATTTATATAGTACCTAGTATTGATGTATTGTAGTAATACTACTGTTTTTATTCGTAAATACCTAGGTAGTGATTACCTACAAAGAAAGCAGTTAATAGAGTCATCTTCCCAGCACAATTATAAATTGGTGAGTTGCTTATAATTGTCTTTAATAATATAAAAATATAAGTATTAAGTTATAATTAACAATATAACAATAATTATATCTTCATTCTTCATAGTACAGGCACGGATTTTAAATCATACTATTTTTATCCATAAATATGTGAATCCACAGTGAATCTTACCTAACTTTAACTAGTCTTTAACTTTTTTGGATAATACCTCTTTATCTACTAACCTACTACAATAAGTATTCATGAATTTAAAACAATGTAAGATTGTGATTAATGGGTAATGGGTTATATTACTTGTATGTAGTTAAGAAAGTAGTACCTTTAACAAAATTTGTTCATGTGCAGTTTCAGTACTTAAAAGAGGTTGTATATCATACTTACAACCATTAATTAACAAATCAATATCACAACATGTATAAATATGTTAAAAATATAATAACTAAAAGTTAAAACCATTTTTGTCCTGCTTATGAAAATGTTAAGTCTTAGTATCTTGTAATCAGGGTTTTGCAGTATCAAATAATGTATCTTGTATCTTGATACAATCAAAGGTGATAAGTTAATGAAAATAATTGACTCAGTTAAGAGGACTCGAGATCGACAAGTTAAAAGTTAATAGCTAACAAATTCTAAATTTAACTCAATAAGTTAAAAATTAATATGGAAATAAAAATTTTAACTTACCTTAGTTTAAAAAAATTAATCTACTTTTTTTAATTAGTATGTGGATCACATAAAGAGTGACTGTATTCTTTCTAATTTTCTAAATTATAATAAACAATTTTATTGAAATTTCAACACTATGTACAGTGTATGTACCTATTTTACTTTGTATGGTTATTAAATATTTAAACTGTACCAACACATACCAATCTCCAATTAATAATCTTACAAATATTAATTTTATTATATCAAGTAGCAATTTGGTCACATAATATTATGCCTATCTAATCTACTAAAATATATCTAATAACATAATTATTTTATCAAGAAAAGTAATAGAAATTTTTTGTATTATTAAAGTATTGGATTATTTTTATTTTAGTATTAACATTTAAGTATAAAAACATAATAACCAACATTTCAAAAATTTTTAACTTGAGTTATTTTTAAATATCTGAGGAAAGTTAGTTTTTTCAACTGTCAACATAGGCGTAGTTAGGGGGGGCTTAGCCCCCCCAGTTGGAATTATAGCCCCCCCCAAAAAACTTAAGGCCACCTATATTTAAAAAATATTCAAATAAATAATTTTTTAGATATTTAAATATCGATAAAAATAATTCTTTATTTTTTTATGTCACTTTATCCATTACATTTCTTATAAGTTATAATATCATTCAATAATGTGTTGTTTTTGTCGGTCGATATTATGTCGTTAAGGTTAAATTGTGCTTATTTTATTAAAATACGTCCATACGTCATCTATTCATTATTTTATTGTGTTATTATTATTATTATTTACTAAAATCACAGAACAATAAAATGCAATAGCGATAACCTATTACAGTTGAAACATTTCCGAATCTATACAAACTTCTGAACTTGGCTTTAAGTATACTAATTTCTTCAGCATCTTGTGAACGGTCTTTTTCGACTATGAGAAGAATCAGTACTTATAATATACGCTCTACCATGAATCATGATCGTTTTTCCTCTTTAGCTATTATTAATATTGAAAGACATGTATCGAATAATATAAATTCTGAAGATATTTTAGAGATATATTCTAAAGAAAATAGACGTTTAATGTTGTAACAGTAAAAAAAAAAAAAAATAGAATATTTTAATAAAACCTTTGATTGTCACACGTTATTTGTATTTTTTATGTAAATTTGCAGATGTACCGGTTGGGGGGGGGGTTGTTAAATCCTTTCCCTGGAAGGGCTAAAGCCCCCCCAAAAAAATTGATCACCCTACGCCTATGACTGTCAATTAAACTAGTTAAGTTTATAAGTTGATTAGAAAATTAACTAACTAGTTAAATTAAAAAGTTTATAAATATATAACTTTATAACTTAACTTTAATTTTTTAACTAGTTAATTCCCACCTTTATACACTAAATGCATGTATTGTGATACTTTTTTTTTAGTATCTTGCCCAACCCAGCTTATAATGCTACGAGGGACTAAAATGATTTGTCAAATATTAAAATAACAAAAAAAATAAAATAGGTATCTTTTCTATTAATTACATGTTCCTTTTGACGTTTAAAATATTACATAATATATGTACTCTATTACTCTATTCTATTTAAATATATTTTTAATTGATTATTGACTTTTGTTTAAAGTAAACATGGAATTTGAATGGACGGAAGACATCATTTTGTACCTTATAGATGAGGTGAAAAAACACCCTTGTCTATGGGACCCAAAAAACAAAGATAAAAAAATTAAGAACAAAAAAATTGATGCATTTCAAAATATTGCTAAAAAATTTGGAACAACTGCTGATATTGTTAGCAAAAAATTATCTAACTTGCTACAAAGATACAGAGGATGCCGTCGCAAAGTAAAAAGTACCATGGTGACAGGGTCAGGAAGAAGTGACATATATATTCCATCCTGGTTTGCATATGATTCATTAAATCAGTTCATGCAAAATGTATATACACCCCACGGAACAACAGACACAATAGTAAGTATATTTTATTTTATTACATCATTATATATTATTCATTATATAACATTTACTGGAATGAATCTTGCCACCCAACTCTCCCATCTGTCATAAAATATTCTCCAAACTCTTGTCGAATACATTTTGCATCTATACCTGACCTCCTTCCTCTTCTCTCAACTGGAAAAAGTGATGTCATTCCTTCACAATCATTTCTCCATATACCACTACTGAACTGTTGTCCATTTTCTTCCCGGTCAAATGTGCCCGGCGGTGAATAAAAATTTGATGATGTTTTACTTCTTCTTAAAAAATTGTGTAGTAAAACACAACATTCGGTCACGAGTCTTGCTTTATTTGCATCTAATAAAATTGGTTTTCGCAATACACTGAAAACTGAGGACATAATACCAAATACATTTTCAATTGTTCGTCGGGCTCTTGACAGTCGGTATTGAAAAATTTGTTTAAGTGATTGGCTGTTATGATTCACACTGTAAGGTACCATTATGTTTTCTTTTAAAGGAAAAGCACTATAATCAAGAATAACATATGGTACACATGTATTTCGGTTTGGTAATGGTTCAGGAAGAGGTAAATTTAAAGTGTTGTTCTCTAGTTTTTCTGACAAAGAACAGTTACTAAAAACCCCACCATCTGATATCCTTCCTTGGCAACCTATGTTAGCATAAGTAATATTGTAATCTGCATCACATAATGCCATCAATACAATGCTAAATGTGCCTTTATAGTTTATATAGTCACTACCACTGTTCATTGGAGATAATATCACTATATGTTTTCCATCAAGTGCCCCAATACAGTGGGGGGAAATTCCATCTTTTTTCAAACAAATCTGATACTTTTCGCCATTCTTCAGGATTACTAGGAATCTAAATAATTTAAAAACAAAAAACCGCATGAATATTCAATAGGGACCATAAAATAGAAAATACCTACATAAATTGTTGTGGTATTTATGCAAATTTTAATAATTATTATTTTATATTAACTAAATCCGATATAATATTTAGTTTTTATTTCTTACTATTAAGAAGCATTTAAGTGTAAACTAAAACATTATCATATTTAATTTAATAATATATTAGAAATATTTGATTATATTTAAATATTATAGTAAACTTTTTATAGAATTTATAGATATATCCCAGGTATATGTTCCCCAGAGATAAAGTAGCAACACAATATATTTTATGTTTATTAAAGTTTATTTAAAACTCATAAATCAAATTTTATAGGAGAGAAAACAAACAACAAATAGTTTTACTAAAATTATTGATGCCTACTTAATACCTATACATAATTTTATATACTACTTACATACCTAACTATGAATATCTATTTTTTTTAGCATTTGGAAAGCAATGAAGATGAAACTCAATTAGAAGATGGTGAAGAAAGCATGAGAGATGGCAATAATGAAGAAATACTACAACAATCGTCAATTTCAACATCACCAGCTCAAATCGTCCATCAAAATTCTGAACAAGTTAGCAGTCTTAAACAGTCTTCAAGGAAAAGAAAAGTTAGAGAAGAAGCTAGCCGTGTCAAAGAAGCGTTTGAATATTTAAAACAAAAAAAAGAAGAAATTAAAAAAAATAAAGATGAATTTTCACTATTTGGAGATTTAATAGCTACCAAGTTGAGGGACATGGATAAAATAACACAGCAATATGTTATGAATGATATAAATAATATAATGTTTAATGCTACTTTAAATACATATTATTCAACTGCACAACAACATCCAAATAATCAACAAACGTCTCCGTTCCAACAAATCTCGCCACTACACTCTACATATAAATCTAACAAACAAACACCTACTGTTCCACCGTACTCACATATTCCATACTCACATATTCCATACCCACATACTCCATACTCACTCCATGACCAATCATCTCTGGCTCCTTCTAATTCTATGTATAATCATGATCCAACAACCACTTCAGCTACACATTTAATGCATCCAAGTTATCAAAATTCACTCCAGATTTCTTCACACTCTGTTCATTCTCCAACTTCTGAAAATCCAACTTTAGTTTATCCTAACTCTTCTTTATCATCATACAAACAAATTTCGGTCCCTTCAAATTCTTCCACTCATACAGCTGAAAATTTATCAAAGTTACTCCTCACACTTCTTATCAACTTAATGAAAATATTTCAGATCTTTCAAAGTCTGCCACTAATAATATTGAAAATGTGTCACGTCAAGTTACTTCTCACTCTTCTTATTCACCTAATGAAAATATTTCAAATCCTTCAAATTCCATTACTTTTACAACTCTAGAACACCTAACTTAAGTTACTCCACGCTTAGGAGACCAATCACAACATTTTTAGTATACATTTATAATTTAAATATAATTAAATTATTATATTTGAAACAAGTAATTTAATTTTTTTTTACATTATCATATAATTTTAGGAAGTAGTAAGTTATTGATCTTACCAAGAATGTGTAATTGACTTTAATATATTTTTTAATATTGTTCTAATGTTCTATTCATTTTTTTAATGTAACAAGTCATGATATAATTTTTTTTATTTGTTATAGTATTGCTAGAATTTAATTTTGTCTAAGTAGGACACTTAAGTTATACAATTGTAACTTTACCTAATATAAATATATGAGTTATACCAAATTTGTGTATTTTAACTATGATAATATTTAATTTCTAGTATTAAGTGTTAAAATAATATATTATTATCTATGTGATAATATATTTTTTATTATACGCTTAAATTTTAATATACCTTTACTTGATCCGAAAGTCCATTTTTCAAAGCATTGCATACATCAACCACAATTGTTGAAATAAGCTGTGGTGAAATTTTAAATAGATAGCTAAGGCTTTGATAGCTATCACCACCAGTGTTGAGACTTATCTAGATAAATTTATCTAGATATTTCATCTAGATAATATTTATTTATATTTTATCTTATCTAGATGAAAATGTGGATAGGTATCTAAGGGTTATCTAAGATAAAAAAATCGTTATCTTTTTAGTAATTATCTAGATAATATAAGTAAATCGAAAAAAAAATTTTTTTGAGCGCCCTGTATGCATGCAACTCATCTATGGAGTCCATTTTATAAATGTCAAATAGAAAATAGTCATAATGTTAAATTTAGCAAAACACGATCAAAAAAAATAATAATAATTATACGAACGTAGTATTATAATTATAAATGTATAAAACTATCAAGCTTTTAACAGGAAAAAATTAATTCCCAATCTATAAATAGACCAAAATTAAATTAAATTATTACGCCAATGATAATAATATGACATAGTAAACATATATAAAGAAAATTGTGGAATATTGATGGTCATTATTTATGTTATGTTTAAAAAATCTGTATTCCTAATCTTAAGATTTCAATTATTGGTAGATATATTAATTTTCCACGATAAAATATAAATTTAATTGTTGGTTAAATTAAACTATTTTAAACATTTAAATTTTCATCTTTTTTTTATCTAGATAAATTTTGTTTGTATTTTATCTTATCTGAGATAATTTAAATACATGCTATCTTATCTTAATCTAGATAATATTAGAGCAATAATCTTTTATCTATATCTAGATAATTTTTTCTTATCTGGTCTCAACACTGATCACCACTAGCTAAGAACCTTAGTGTTACAGCAAATCTATCCTTAGCAGAAACACATTTTCTAAGGTGAGTATTTTGTTTGGTTATGTTTGGACCAATCAAATTAAACAAATACTCAAAATCTGAGAGAGACATTCGGCAAAAGTTTTCAAACTTTCCAGAATACTCTGTCATCAGGTCGTTCAATAAAGAATTACCACCATATCTAAATTAAAAAAGGTGGGTAAGTGGATGTCGCTCTGCTGTACAGTAGGTTACAAGTGGGTCACTGTATAATGGATGGTATTAAATTTGAATTCAATGATACAATATCATTGTATAAGAAAAACGATTCTGAGCGAAGACGGTATGTCAGTCTAGGTTTAAGACAAATTATATACATATATCTATGGTATTAAATTATATGGAATTTATGAATAAATTCCTTAAAATATGCACAGTCTTATCATGAGCATACTTCTTATTCCTTATACTATGATAGATTGTATGGATAGGCCACAATATTTTGATTTTTCAGTTTCATATATCCCAGAATAATATTTTTAAATTGCAACAATAACAAAGATCGTTAATATTGATTTTAATATGTAATTTCGTCCAAATTTGAATTTAAAATGTCTGTAAAAAATAACTGTGTTCATATATTTTTTAGATTTTTTGGTTACAGTATGAACTATTTATAAGAACTTTTGTTTTAAATTTGCAATCCTTAGCTATAAAAACTGACATTTTATTATTTATTAATTACAATGATTGATAATTTTCGAGATTTTGATAAATTTTGTCAAAATTCGATGTTTAAATGCTTATAAAAAAAATTGTGCCTATGTATTTTTAATATTTTTCAACTGCTACTGTAACAATATATCAGGAGCCTTGTATTAAATTTTTACACTTTTTGGCCCAACAGATAAAACTTTATTGATATTTATAGAAAAAAAAAAACTAAAAAAATTGAAAACTGAAAATGTCCATTAACAACTCAAAAAAAGTCAAAATATTTTAAAAACTGTACAGTGTATAGAAAATGCTAATCTGAAAATTCACTGAAATTTTCATGTATCTATATTTATTCGTTTTTGAAATACAACAAAATAAAAAAATCGCTACATGAGAAATCAAGTGAATATCCAATTTTGTAAAAATTTGAATTTCATACGCTCATAAAAATTTAATTTGACTTTCCGGTAGAGATTTTTTTATTGATAAAGGTAGACAATATTATGAGTAATCTTGTATTAGATTTTTAAATCTTAGATTTAAAAAGAAAAATTTTTACGAATTCTTAACTCAAAATAATTTGCTAATGTTCGTGATTTTTCCATATATTGTCAATTTTTGAACTTTAAATGCTTATAAAAAAAAACTGTGACAAACGATTTTTAATATTTTTCTTCTGCCTTTGAAACAATATACTAGGTGTCTTCTATTAAATTTTCAAGATTTTTTAACCAACAAATAAAATTTTATTGATATTTCTAGAAAAAAAACTAAAAAGAAATGAAAATGTCCCTAAACAGTTCAAAATAAATCAAAATATTTTGAAAATGTTATCGTGTATAGAAAATGCAAATATAAACAACCAGTCAAAATTTCATGTTCCTACGGTCATTTGTTTTAAAGTTACACCAAAAACCAAATTCAATTTTCTGAAAAATCGATTTTGCGTAAAAATTTCCGTTTTTCCTTAATTTTTCTTTTGTTTTTCTTGGCGCTTTTGAAAAGTACTGTGAATTTTAAATTTTGACCTCCCCAATGCACCAACGATGTTCACTTTCTAATCGAACAAGATACTGAAGTCGAAAATCGAAGCATTATTTCGACTACTTATCGTGTACACAGACACAAAAAAAATTTAAAAATTTAAAAAAAAAAACTAAAAAAAAAAACACACATCATTGTAAAATCAATAAGTACATTCATCGTTTCACTCAGAATCTAAAAAACATTTGATGTTAATTGTATTTAAGGGAGCTATATGCCCTTATAAATTGTATAAAAAGTCATTAGAACTTAATAATTTTTAGTAACTTACCTCTCTCGATTTTTGAACAAAGTTGTAGTCCACCATCTACGCTTTTTGTTTTTGTTTTTCTTTTTAAGTCCTGCAGTTATAACTATAAACATGGCACTAGCGATCGCGACTTCATCTTCACTACTTGACGCCATTTTGGGACTAAAACTTAACTTCACAAATCGCGTGCTTCACAGCTTTAGGTACGTGCTCAAGTATTTATGTAAAATGTAGAGTAAATAGACTATAACTTGAGTTAACCTAAAATATAATATTAATTTGGCGGGTATTCTATTGACGAAAGTCTCCGCGAATCTCCTCGAATATAAATATTAAATACACAGATCATGAATCACGAATGACGACTATCCACGAATAGTGAGAAGGGTGATATTCGTAAATATCAAAAAATGACGAATTTGTACGAACCACGAACAACGAATACGCGCATAGTGTGTAGCTACCTTTAAATATATATTTGCTAGTCCAGGCGCGTATCCAGAATTTTATTTCGGGAGGGGCTGAACAAAATTATCAACATAGTCACACAATAAAACAAAAAAGTGGGTAAGTGGAAGTCGCTCTGCTGTACAGTAGGTTACAAGTGGGCCACTGTAATGGATGGTGTAAAATTTGAATTCAATGATATAATATCATTGTATAAGAAAAACGATTCTAAGCGAAAACGGTCCAGTCAGCCTATGATATTACTAAGTATATTTGATGATATTATTGTAAATAAAGTAATTTATATATTTACCTATTTACGTGGACCATTGTTTTAAATTTTTAATCCTTAACTATGAAAGTTGAACATTTTATAAATTTTTAATTACAAAATATTTGTTACATTTTAAATTTGATAAATTTTGTCAAAATTCGAACTTTAAATGATTATAAGAAAAAATTGTGCCTATGTATTTTTAATATTTTTCAACTAATATTGTTACAATATATATATATATATATTTATTGCGTTAAATTTTCATGCTTTTTTACCCGACAAAAAATTTTTTATTGATATTTATAGAAAAAAAACTAAGAAAATTGAAAACTGTCAATGTCCGTAAATAGCTCGAAAAGAGGCGAAATATTTTCAAATTTTTTTGGTGTATAAAAAATGAAAACATTCAGCAAAATTTTAAGTTTTGTGATTTTTCCGTATTTTGTCAAGATTCGAACTTTAAATGCTTATAAAAAAACTATGACTAAGGATTTTTAATATTTTTCAACTGCTATTGTAACAATATAGCAGGAGCCTTGTATTAAATTTTCAAGCTTTTTTACCCAACAAATAAAGTTTTATTGACATTCATATTTTTGGATTTTCTTGAAATTTCAGGGGGGGCTGCAGCCCACCCAGCCACCCCCATAAATACGCCCCTGTTTGCTATCTTTGTAGTATGTATAATGATGTACATATTTCAGTGCAAAATCTAATGTGTGGTTGTGCCTATATAGTTAATATATTATGTACAATAATATCAAAACTCACATACCGTCAAAAAGTGATTTCCTAGTACAAAAGTGAAAAGATAGGTATCAAGTTTTGTTCAATTTAGGATATTACAACTCAAGTCAATAATTACCTATGTAGAAAATATGGTATCGGTACATGTACGTATACATAGGGCCATAGGGGGATTAATGGTTCAAACCTAAACCGAAATGTTTTCAAACAATATTATTTTTCGACATTCAGCTATTATATTATTATTTTACCTATGTAAAATAGAATTTTGAATTTTTTTAAATATTATTTTGTATCAACTTTTCGATTATATTAACGTTCACATTTTCTATACAATACATATTATTATTTACATTTCTTGCTTGGTTTATATAACTGTCCATGTTGTATCCGCCGGTAGGTATTTTATGATTTATTCCGCAGTCATTCGTCGAATTTAGTGTTTGATGGCTTAAATATTTCTTGCCTTCTTGGAACATATTATAATATCCGTGTAGCGTTTATACTGCAGGTCTAAGGCCATTATACTCTATATAATCGACCAACGAGTTTTTTTTATTTAAAATACATATCTTAACTATTTTTAGTCGTTAAATCTGTAACAATTGATTATACACTCTACAAAACGAAAAAATGAAACAATATTTTTTTGTTCACATCAAAAATGTTTATTATAAATTTATAACAAAAGGGCCGCAAATAAGAAAAAAAATCGAAATTTGTATGTGTGAACAATTTAACAATTTTGAATTTTGAATAACTTAAATTTAAAAAAAAAAATACGAAGGACAGGATAGACACAATAAACAAGGGGGGAGGATGCGAGATGGCGATTGGTGCAGAAATGCAGTGTTGCTGGCCACTGGTCACCTCTGCACGTTCTCCGACCTGTCCCGCGGGTTGACGAGTGTCGCTGGCGCGTTTGCTCGGACGCTTGACGACCTTGCCCAGCCGGCGAGGCCAGACCGAGACGGCCACGGGAGCGACCACGGTTGACGGCGACTAGTGCGCGATGTGGTGCGCGTCGACGGTCGACGGCGTGACGACTCGTGACGACGGACGGCGAAGACCAAGACGTGGAGCCAGCGAAATAAGATTCTGTGCTGCGGATCCGGTGGGGACGATCGAAGCGGCCGATTTGGGATTACCGCTGGGCGAAAAGGCGAGAGCCAGCGGACCACAGCGCAATCCTTGACTTTCGGTAATTTTCGCCCTGGCGTTGTCCCTTCGGCCGCCGCGCGCCTCCAGACCCTGAAACGGTTAAGTTTCTGCGAGTCCGGCGCCGCTGACGTTCCCGTGTTCCTAGCACTCGAATCTCCATACCACTCACCCCGTGCCGAGGTCTCCGCCGGTACCGTCGTACCGAGTCGCCGCCGCCGTCGTACCGAGTCGGTGTACCGTCGGGTCGGAATCGTTGCCCGCGCCGGTACGTCTACTAGCCGCCGTCCACCGTCGCCGTCCACCGCCGCCATCGCATCACGTGACCGTAACTGCGGTCCGGCGCTCGCCGAGCCGCCAGAGGGTCTCGCGCGTCATCGACGACCGAGCGCGCGACGCCAGCGAATCCGTCGCGCCGCGGGTGCAGGTCGGAGAACGTGCGCGGGTGACTTACCGCCGCGCACCGTCCGTGCTCTTTCCCGCATCCTCCCCTCCATTCCGTAGCCGTCATCTCCTGTCCGTCGTCTTCGCCCAGGGGGGGTCTTCTCCTGTGGCGGTCTCGATTTTTTCATCCGATACATCGTCTTCTGGACACAAAACGGAATCGTCCTCCACTTCCGCTTCAGAAACCTTCGAATTTCCGTCTTCTCTTACTGTGTCGTCGTCGTCGCCGAGCGGTGCTGTCTCCGGGATCGGACCGAGCTCCGACTCTGCAGCAGACGACAGCGCGTCGCCGGTCGGCACTCCGCCACAGTGCGGGGAGACGGTCTCCTCGACGTCTTCAGCCAACTCCTCTCCGTCTGCGCCTCCGAGAGTCGAGCCTTCGGGCTCCAACTCCAGGGTCTGAACGTCGCTGTAGTGGCGACCGTAACAATGGCAGACAGAAGTGGAGTGACTACAAGAACGACAACGAGATATTCGTCGGTTTCATCGGCCAAAGCGAGTTCCATCTTGTTGACCAAAATTTCTTCCACCATTTCTAGTAATATTATGTTTTTGCGGCTCGGTCAATGTTGTTAAAGTTTGTTGCCATCATTTATTTTTTGAAAGAAGATAATATTTGCGTTTGGATTTAATCGAGAATGAGCTAAATACAAATCGTTCAACACATAGACCGATCTCCGAGAAAATGTCCCAGACGACGGTGTGTGTTACTAGCCAGCTAGTATTTTTATCGTTCTCGTCGGCCCGCAGCATTAGAATTTCAAGCACGTTAATAATAACAATTTTATTTTATTTGCAAACAATTCCCAACATATTGTAAATTATAAATACAGTACCTATAAGTCTGCTCACCTCCTATAAGCAAAAGCTTGGGTGAGAGGCTCTTAAATTAGACATTCAATTTAAATACAAATAATAACAATAAAGTACAATTAAGTACAATATGAGATTTACTTAATACAAAATAGAGCGTTAATTTTTCTAAAGCCTATTATTATTTATATCCACCGACACGATCGTGGCGCGAGCTAAGTAAAAAAAAAAAATAATACTGCACGAAGGTGTGTGTATAGTATATCGAAGCAGGAGTTGCCTATTTAAACTGTGTAAAATACAGGTAAATTTGTTATACGACATAACTATTTTCTTATGCATCAATTAACTCCTAGTAAACTCCAAAACATCAGAAATATTGTGTATAACATGCTTTTGTAAAAATCATCAAAATCTTAAATAGTATGTTTAGAAATGAAGTTATAAATGAAAAAGTGCGAACTTTTTAATGGAAATTTATATTAAATTCAGAATCACGGTAGCCGTCGTAGTCGTCGTCGTCGCATCAGCGTTGCCATTGTTACCAACAATATTACCGTTCTTATATAGATTATTGTGTAAATACTCAATATTTAATAATGATAAATATTAGTGATATCACAACAAAAACCCTTCTTAAACTACATGAAAAAATGGCTAAGTAAAAAAAAATATAAGATCTTTAAGCAATATAAAGATGTGATATCATGAATAAATACTAAGTATATTGAATTTAAGTAAACTTATTTTGTTTCAATAATTTATTTAGGTACTTGGCGAGGAATTATTTAGAATAGTATATAAATATTAATAATAATATTTTTTAAATAATAATAAGTTATATTTTAATAATCCTTCGCCATTAAATTATTTTGTTCATCACACTTTGTTTCTTTTAAGAAATAATTCCTCTTCAAGTAAATAAATTATTGAAAAAATAAGTTTACTTAAATTCAATATACTAAGCATTTATTCATGATATCACATCTTTCTAGTGCTTAAAGATCTAATATTTTTTTTTACTTAGACATTTTTACACGTAGTTTACGAAGGGTTTTTGTTGTGGTATACCTATTATATAAAGAGCCGTTAGTATACTTCAGGCCTCTAAAATTATGATCTTCCCGGGCTGTTTTTTTCTCCCAGTCCGCCACTACAATTCTGAGAGAAGATCGTCTATCAGCCTATAATGTCTTGAAATCAAATGTATCTTAAGTAGGTATTCTAAATTCAAAAAGATATGCTAAATTATTAAATCAGTTTTGCTTA